GTGTGTTTATTGCGTCCTAGATACATACACATGATTTAGAATCATGACCGTGACATTAGCCTGATTCGGATTGGTTAGTTAATAATCTGTAAATCTGTCAGCTTCTCCGGCATTGTCAAAGTATGAAGGTTCTCTTTTCTAGTTTTTTCTCTTTCTTTCTTTTCTTTTTTATCAAAAGTGAATTCACTTACTAATTTGTCATGATTTGTTAGCATTCCTTTGTCTACTGACCCACAAGGGTCGTACTCACCTCTACTCATGATACTTTCTCATTCCTTCGTCTTTGAAGAGTCATGAATCAAGATAGTAATTCCCCTAGCATATTTTATTGTTGCAATTCACTAACAAGGACCCCGTTCTGGCCTGTCTTAAAATTTCTGGAAGTATATCTTATTTACCAAATTAACTCCGTGGTTTTGCTGGGAAAGGAAAGGGAGTCCTGATCTACAAGGTTAGTGTGAGTAATCATGTGAAATACGTCACAGGTAACGCAGCAGCAAGCAAGGGAGTCCAGTTCCTTTTTCAGGCCTTTTTCCCCATCCCCAAACTCTGTAGTGGCGACTGATTTCGTTACAATGAGGGGAAACCTTGTGGTGCTTATAAGTGTGAGTTGGTGCCATTGCACGTACAGTCACCTTGGTTGTTCAGGCTGAGTGACACTATTGGTCATGGAGGCAGTGCATGCCGGCCTTAAACATCCATCGAATGGCTTTGTACCCGTTCCCTATATTTGTCATAAATTTCTAAGGATCAGAACCCGAGTTAGAATTGAATCAAGGGATTAAGTGTATCTTGTGATCAAACTAAGAACTTGATATGATAGAGTTTCCTTGTGGACTGCAGCTGCCTGAAAAATGGGAGTATCGTGAATGTTGCCTAAAAAGCAATTACCGGTATAATAAAAAAAGATGGAGAGTCAAGAAGCCATGCACTAATGTTACCATACCGTAATCTAAGAATGTAGAAGCCATGCAGTTATGTTATGATTCCATATCTCGGTACTTTGGGCGATTTAATTCCCTGTCTGATTCTTCTTCTGCGGCAGGTGGCAGAGTCTCTTGTATTGCTACCAATGATTCTACTCCAGCTGTCTTTGCAGCTGCTGGTGATGGAGGGAAGTTGCTGGTTTATAGGCATTCTCAGTCTAAGGCAATTGATAGGGAAATGATGCAACCATAGGATTTGGGTCTTCCCAAGCTTTCAGGATATTTTTTGCCAGTGATTTCAGATCTTCCATGTCCTTGATGTTGAGACTTATCACGAGGTTCCATCGACACGCTAACTTTTTTGCTGTCGAGGAATCAGGATGCTCCAGTCCAGACATCTGAATTGTTCATAATCTCTGAATGTAATTTCTCAAAAACATGTATACCTATTGGTGGGAAGATGCAGGTGATCTAGCTGCGATTTGGACAAGTGTGCTGTTTCCCCAACTTTAGTCTGCAATCAATATACTTTTAAAGCTACCCTAAGTGTTGTAATTGTGAATAACATGCAAAACTGATATGATTAGGACATAGTTGGCTAGGTTTTTTTTTTGGGGAAGGGGGGTGGTCAAAATAGTTGGCTAGTTGGTTTGCCTCCGTTTGACAGCTCTTCCCGGAATGAGTCGAGCATGATGTATGCAGCGTGATTAAGGGCTCTTGAACTTTGTGTGTCAAGCCACATTTACTATGCTTTTGGGCTCCTGTGAGGATTCTCAAGATGAATCAAGTTTTTTCTTTAACCTATTGTCTCTCAAATCTGCACAAGGCTCGCGCAAAACGCAACTGTGCAGCTTCAATCATTCCTGAGAACAGCATCATGTCCCTTGATCCTGGAGACTGGTCACATGCGCCCGTTGGGCAGTCAAGTTGAAGAGACATCCAATCCTCCATCAAAATCTAATGCGATGTCATATTCATTGTTATCAACCGGGGGGCGTAATCGAAATGAGCGCCGCTAGACTGATAAATAACTGTAAGGTAACGGTAATACCGTACACGATCAAATACATTTCCGTGGAGCATGTATGTCTCACTCAGAAAGAAAAAGCTACAGGGGTAAAACAGATATCGGCCGACCTATACCGTATAGGCTATACGTAATGGGCTTAAGCTCAAGCCTCCTCCTCCTTGAGTAGACCTGATCATGGGCCTCGAGACCCATAGGCCCAATTAGGCCCAAAGGAGCCCGAATCGGGCCCACACATTGATCCACCTCTAGTCCAGGAGTCGAGTGCTCCTCCTCCCTCACCGCTCCTCAGTCACGCCAAACGGAGAGGAAAGCTGAGAGCTGAAGCTCGAGCAACAGCTTCAATGGCCGTCAACTATCCCGTCCAGAAGAACACTCTCTACGTAGGTAAGTCGTCGCGCATCAGCTTCGTCTTCTTCTTCCTTTGATCTTTCTGAGGTGAATCACGAAGAGAAGACGACGACTGAGCAGGTGGATTGGCGGAGGAGGTGAACGAGGCGATCCTGCACGCCGCCTTCATCCCGTTCGGCGACATAAAGGACGTGAAGACGCCGCTCGACCAGGCGACGCAGAAGCACCGGTCCTTCGGCTTCGTCACCTTCCTCGAGAGGGAGGACGCCGCCGCCGCCATGGACAACATGGACGGCGCCGAGCTCTACGGTCGCGTCCTCACCGTCAACTACGCCCTCCCCGAGAAGATCAAGGGCGGGGAACAGGGCTGGGCCGCTCAGCCTAGTACGTCCCCCCCTCTTTGCTCTCTCTCTCTCTCTCTCTCTCTCTCTCTCTCTCTCTCTCTCTTTCTTTTTGGCTTAAACCCTAACTTCTTACAGTGAGGATATGGCGGGGTCGTTTGCTGAATTACGTCGTTTTCTTGTCGAGACTGGAGGGCGATTATGTCCGTAGTATTAGGGTTGCAGTTAGAGTCCGATTGAATGTGTGTTAAAAAGTTTGTTGGTGTTGTAGGATTCTGTAGGAGCTGTTGATACGCTAAGTTGGATTTATTTACAGTTTTTCTCAAGTTTTGCTCCTGCAGTGAGCTTTTGCTTTGTTGGCATAATGGCATTCGTGTATATGTCTTGCTATATCTCAGCCAATTGGACTGAATTACAAGAAACTGAAATCGAATTTCAGATGGAAAATGGTAGTGTTTCAATGCTCTGATGCCACCATGAGGTGCTAAAACTAGGTTTTTGTTGCTTGTGTGAAGGAGATCTGGTAATTCAAAAAGCGTACATTTTGCTGTGTGGCTATCTTCGTTCAACTGTGTAGCTAAATCAGGTTCCCATTTGGGGTCTCTAGTTGGAGAGAGGAAACTCATCTTGTCTTGACATATGGTACTGGAGTATTGTGGCTAGACTTATTTCTGGATTGCTGATGTTTTTCATTTCTACACTTCATTCGAATTATGGCAATGCTGCACTGATGTGAATTATGTTGGATTGTTGTTTGGATGGAGTTTTATATCACTATTGCATGCGTGGCTTCTCAAACTTGAATATGAAATATCGTACTAATTTATCTGACTGAGGTAACACCCTGTTGGCTTTAATCCTGCATATCTAGGGGCAAAGGAGCTACTTAAATGGCTTTACCTTTTTTCCCCATTTTTCAGGTTAATGTGTTCAGTAACAATTTGCTTTTGACTCTATTTCTACTCAACTCTGCTGTTAGAAGAATATGATAGGGAAAGGAAAGAAAGATTTATTTGAGACCTATTCTTTGTTATGCTGTCCCATGCTCGGAAGCTCAATATGGCATTCGTACATGACTATAATTTTCTCCGAGAATCACGAGCATGCTTTTTTGACTGATTTGTATTTGACTTTCCTAATGCAGTTTGGGCGGACGCTGACACATGGTTTGAGCGTCAGCAACAAGAGGAGGAAATGCAGCGTATACAGGCAGAGAACAAGGCAGCTATGCAGGCTGCAGAGGAGTTGCATAGGAAGAAAATGGCACAAGAGCATGAAGGGGAAAAGGAAGATGATGCAGAGCTGAAGGATGACCCAATGGCTATGGCGGAAGCAGAGGCTCTGAAACAGAAGAGCTGAAGTTGCTGGTTTTAAAGTGAGTTTGGATTTAGGAACATGGTAACATCAAATTTTAGCATTTGGAATTGTAACATATATGATCAATTTTGCCTATGGGTTACTTCAACCTGAGCATTGGATTTTGTAATTACTGGTCCTTAGGATGTCATTTGTATTGACCGCACCGTGTATACTACGGGCTATAAAGCTTATGGATAATTATGCATATTGGCGGAGATAAGAGAGAAAGCAATTGTTCTTGATCATAAATGATTTCCATGATGCAAGGACATAGTCTGTATCGGTGCCTATTATGGGAGTCCCTTTTCAATGAGTGAACAATTTATCTTTGCACTGTATACATAATGTGGAGCGGCGTGTTTGACGATGATTGCTCTCTCCTTCTGTGATCTTGTACTTGAAAAGTCTCAGTATCACGTTTCCCATGCTTACGAATTTTGATGATTTTGTTCGAACTTGGATCCACCGCTAAGTGAATTCAGTGAAAAGGCGGCTTTTCTTTTTCTTATATACTTCAAGCAATTAGGATCAGGATATGATAGCTAGCCATAGCAACCGAAATAGAGAAAAGGATCAAAACACGAGTCTTAAATTTCTTTTAAATCGAAGTTCGGAGGGTGTCATGCGACAGATTTAGATATTTGAACTTGTGATTGACTCGTAAGGTAGTAAAATCACAATGAGATGCTAATCAATTGAAGGGAGTAAAGTTGCCTTCCCAAGTGCGCATATCACCGCAATAAATCAAAGTATTGCACATAACAATTAGAGGTTCATACTGAATAACACAACTTATAATTTTAAGAACTCTTGGTTTTACTTATCCAGTTGTGCTGAGAAATTACCCCAAACTAGTGGATTCCAATTCATGTTCCTATTTTATCGCCGCAGAGATTCCAGTCCTATTCCTCTTTGTCAGCCATAATCCACAATAGAGTTGCTGAAGTCACCTGTGGCCATCTTTCAACTACACCAACACAAGCAAACAGAATACAAAGAGTTTGTTTTAAATTTCAATCCATTGATTTCCCAATACAAGGAGCCTAAGAGAGATCATCAGAGGTTTTGCCATGAGAAATTGAGAACTGCAGCATCCGGCTTTGCCCGATGGCGAGTTCCAGGATCTTGAGTAACCGAAGGAACAACAGAAGGGGCTTTTAGCTGAGGGTCAGGACACTGTAAGAAGGGTGTGATCATGCTGCCTCTGAATAAAGAGGATAAGAAATACAACCGAAGCAAATAATTTTTTCGAGTTTATAATAGGAAAAGGGGAAAAAGGAAGATTTTGGTGAAATTTCCTTTGCTACATCAAAAGCTCCACTTTATCTGCAAGATCTCGACCCTATTAGGAAAATGGAGAAATGTCGAGTTCCGAAGCAGCCGCACTGTCCAGGAACCACACCAACTTACCCGAAGTTGGCCTTACCATCTGCGCAGGCAGCGACGAGCAGTCGGTTCCTGCACTGTTCATTACCGACTTAACAGCCCCCGCTTTGGTTTCCCCCGATACAACTACGGCAACATTGGATGCCGAGTTGATCACCGGTAAGGTGAATGTGATCCTCTCCGGAGGGGGATTCGGTGAATCAGTTAGGAAGGTAACCCATTCGTCTTTCTCGTTGAGTGCATCGTGGTCAGGGAACAGCGAGGCCACATGGCCATGGGGCCCCATTCCCAGAAGAACGAGGTCGAATTTGGGACAGTCACTGATCTCTGATACGTCTATTACGCGGGTCCGGACTAGCTGCCGGATAGTGAATTCATACTCGTTTGCGGCTGCTTCAGCAGACACTGCGTCATTCATTGAATGCACATGGCTGGGCATAACTGGCACCTGACGAACAGTTCAGATAACCATGAAATTTGCATGAATACTGAGAGCGCCTAGTAGGATTAGCATCATCAGAAAGGACTAGATTAGATGACTTAAATTCTGTTTTTTTCAATAAAACTGAGAGACGTAAACTCAAATCTGGTTCCTGGAATGTCCTATGTATGTTTGAACATGTTCAAATCGAACATTTAAGTTCTTACTGGGAACTTCAACCAAGTTCTAGCTCGAAAGGAAAGACAATGTGCAGATTTTGATTATATGGTACTATTTGTTCAATTTGATCTCAGTTTCAAAGTGAGTTAAAACTAACAAAATGTGAACGATGGATGCGTTTTCCGCAACTTATTCAGTTTCCAGGAAATCCTCAACAGCCTTCGTCCACATCTCGATAGCACTAGCACCAGTTCCATAATTCACGAGCATAGGAATTGAAGAAAACCACAATCAAACTCCATTCTAGAAAGCTCGTACTTCTAGAAGCTGAACCCAAAATTCAAGCAAACATTTCAGCGAACCTGTAGTAAATTTATCACCCGACGTCCTCAAGGTTCAAGAACGCTAAGCACCATCTACCTCTGGAGGCTCTTCTTTTGGTGGTTGAACCCCTAACCCAATTCATCAAAAGGACCAATTTGAGTATGAAGTGTGTGATGACTATGGACAGGATGTACTATGCTCTTCCAAACTAAAAGTGACAACCAACCAGATGCATCGTGATGATACGTGGTCAGCATAGAACTTGTAGGAAAAACCCAGAACCAAGTTCCCCATGATGTAGATATCGCATCCCATTGTGCTGCCCGCTAATACTAAAGGCTTGGACGGTTAAACAGTTGAACAATGTCATAGTAACAAGCCTTAATCTTTGACATGCCGTAAGCAAGCTAGCTTGTAAGAAGAGATTTACCTTGGACAAAATTCCATCCTTCGTCAACTTGTAATTGCTATCAGGGTGGTTTTTCGAGACGACATGCTCATCGGCCCAAAAGATATGCCATCTAGCCCAGTCAACAGTCATGTTGTAAGGCGCTTCACAAAGTTTTCTGTTTAGCCAGCAAAATTTAGAAAACGTGTTTCATTGCGTATACAATAATAATGCAGAGCTGCTAGTACCTCAGTAAACCGATGAGAGAGCCACCGGATAAAGCAATGCAGAAGACCCCTCTCTCCTTAACATACGACTCTGATAATTCAGCAATATAGTCTGCTAAATCAGTGCTAAGCTCATCCAAACTCTCATGTATTCTCAATTCTCTTGCCATATTTTGCAGCCCAAATTGGATAGAGATTTCCGATCAAGAAGAGCTGTATAGTTATGAAGCCAAGATTCAGAAATGAGAGACACAGCAGCAGAATCCAAGAAAGCATTGATAAGCTCTCTTTGAAAGGTAAAGAGACTAAAAACCATTGAAGAACGATATTCAGGAAACTGAAATTAATGAAGGGACAGTAACTTAATGAGAAGCGAACCGAAACAGAAAAATAAAAGGAAAAAAAGAAAGAAATAAGGACAACAGCAGCAGGAGTGGAGTTATAGTTTTATAAGAACTGGCAAAATATGAGATGAGTCATGCCAGAAGTTGAATTGCAACTTAGACGAAGCAAAATAAATGGGGTCTGACACTAGCAGCTAACAAAAATGGCAAGGAGCTAACTTTGCTAAAGATGATAATTAACTACTTACAGATGGTTATCTAATGTGTTAGGGTATAATGACCTTGTAAGATACCTACATCAAGGCCAGAGAACCAGACGCTGATCACTGCAGTAATCTGATTAAATAACATTGACATTACGATCAGCAACACCGTGAAAATATCGAAATGGTTTATCAAGTATAGTTTGGCAAGCTCTTTCTGACAAAAACAAAAATCATTGCCAGATTCTCGTGTTGAAGGAAGAAGACATATGCAAGAACAATCCTTACATGATACTACCTTGAACTTAAACTAGAAAAGTTGATAAAATTCAGATTAAAACGGTGCAAAAAAGTACAGCGAAAGGTCATATGTACGAGGAGGAAGAAGAAGAGTAGGAGAAGAGGCAAACAGAAGGGGATTTACGTATGAGGATTAAGAGGAAGAAGATGGAGTTGAAGTGGCGAAGTTATAGAAAGAAGCAACCTACTAAAATGGATAAGCATACATGATTTTATATAACAAAGACTGGCCTGTGAGCTTGGCAGGCACTGATGCGTACTGTTTGGGCATACAGTTGAGGACTTTTGGTTCCCTTGTAGTTGTTTATTTAATTATCTAAGTAGCTTTTACACGCCCAAATACAATAAGGCTCGCTAGAGACAAAGGGGAATTTGTTATCTGAGCTTCCACGTGCATGCCGGGGGTTGTTTGAGACCCAACCCTAAACTTTGTCTCTTGATCAACAGTTTCTTGCCTAGACCCGGTTCACGATGGATTGCGTAACACTCTCTCTCTCTCTCTCTCTCTCTCTGAGTTAACCAAGTATTATGTATCGTGTCATGTTACAATGACCAGAAGTTTTCAGGGTACCACATACACCTGTCTTTCCAAGTCACATTGATGAAGCAATGTCCCCAGCAAGTACTCCCCCATTTGTCTGTATAATATTAAAGAGAGACAGTGACCCAAACTGCCAACATATTTTCCCCCAAACAGAAAGGCAATTGATGCATGTAACAACTCATGATTCCAAGGTTGGTGTTCCAGCATTGAAGAGGGCTTTGAGGTCTGGAATTTCGCAATTCATTTATCTATTTGTCTATGTCTGTGAGGCTGAAACTCCAGCTAACTCTGAGGCAATCTACTGGTGCTCCCCAACCCCTCTGCATCATATCTTTTAAATTAGGGATAATGACACAAACAGTCCCTGAACTTTGACTCAATGTGCAATTTGGTCCCTGAACTTTTAATTTGTTCAATGTAGTCCCTGAACTTTAACCTAATGTTCAATTTGGTCCCTGAACTTTTAATTTGTTCAATGTGGTCCCTGAACTATATGAAAATGTTCAATATAGTCCCTGCACTTGAATTAATGGACGGACTATATTGAACATTTTCAAATAGTTCAGGGACTAAATTGAACACATATTAAAAGTTCAGGAACCAAATTGAACATTAGGTTAAAGTTCAGGGACTACATTGAACAAATTAAAAGTTCAGGGATCAAATTGCACATTGAGTCAAAGTTCAAGGACTGTTTGTGTCATTTTCCTTTAAATTATGGAACCAAAATCCCGTTGCTGCTCAATCATTGCATGATGTAGAACTGAACATGCAATGACTCAATGCTTAGCCTCAACATGTTATTGGTTGCATGTTATGATCCGGGGTTAGAAAAAATTTGTGTTGTCACTTACCTTACCTACATCCTTTCACGTTATTAAGTTTCTTTTACGTTAGTCTTTTGATCAAAGAAATCATACTGATATCCTAGAATCAACGTCTGTGGTCTCGTTCCTTCTCTGCTGCAGAACATTTTATGTGTAGAATTAGCTGGTGTGTATATTCATTACAGCAAGCTACGCTACAAGTACATCTCGAAATTTATTTCACGAAACCTTTTAAATAGATTAGCAATAAGTTTGAAAGAAAATTGACAAGGGTAGAGGGATGCTTTCAGCGCACGGTTTTCAGAGTCAATCTCAAGAAACAATGGAGATTATTGGACGAGTTCTTCCAACTTCAGGAAAAGGCCATTATGAAGAACCAATAATCAATGATGGGTATACTAATCAGATCCCCTATTAAGATAACGGGAGTCCAGACGGACTGGGTCTAGTACTAAGCCTAAGTGTACCTTTTCAGGCCGTCCATGCTTAAATTCTTAAATATTTTATGTAAAGTTTGACAGAGTGTGTTTGTAGGGGGGCGGACTAGGCACAAGGAGGGAAATGAGTTGCCTAGCCGAGCAAGTCGCCCGTCCATTGATCAGGTCGCTGGAAGTGTCATAATCGGACCGAAAAAGGGTTCCTTTCAAAGATTTGACGACTTTGGACAGAAGCAAGAGGGCTCGGACAAGACGCGGTATGATGGAGAGAGAAGAGATAGAACGAATCGCACGTCAAATAGCAGAGGTCTCACCGACCGCGTCGGCACTTTAAGCACTCCTTTTAGGGGAATACTCCTTCGCCTCACCCACACCAAAGGACCAGAAACCTCATCCTTTGACATCTTTCCCATCCAAGGAAAGGAGCGGCCCTTGAAGCAGCAAAATTCTAATCTGTAATAATATATTTTCCATACCATCGATTGCCCACTGAAATGCTCAATGTTACTCCTGCTAACTGCATCATCCATCACCTGCCTTTCCTCTTAAAGCATCAATCCAATTAGACATCTTTCACAATGCACATGGCCCTCTCCGTCAGTTTAACATAATCTAATGCCCGATATGTTATTGGTTAGCGGCACGACGAATACTCGTATTAGCGCGTCGGCGGTCATTATTTTAATCAATGATCAGAGATTCTTCAATTGGAATTTGGCTTCTTTATATTCTTATCTTTGATCACCAAATGTCTAAGAGATTACACATAAATCAACAGCCTCAATGGTCGGCTGTTCTATCAAGTTGAAAACTTGGACCAATGCACTTACTTTCTCATTTGTGCTTGGTGTCTAGGACTAATAATTTTTTATTGCAATGAAAGTAGGAACATGTCAAACTTTCATGCCATGCATTATTAACGTCTTGAAAGTTTTTGACGGCTGGCTTTGTCTGAATGAGAATTTAGGTAAGGCCTCCAAAGCCCAATGATTCTTGTGCCTCTCTTTCCCTGAATTATTCCTGTGAATACCATCGATTGCACTGGTCGAAGTGAAAAATATTTTGTCAATATGGCGACCTACTTTGTTACATCTTATGATTCACCACAAACCATTTTTTTAAAGACGGAATTATTCTCTTTACAGTGTCATTGTCAGTGACGCATCTTCAAATTGATTTGATACCACATATTAGTGGATTTTATTTTTTGGCCACAGGGTTAGGTCATTACACCTGTTAATGTTGACATTTAACGTTGGGAACCATTCAATTGTCGATTGTTTAATAGCATACGCACGTCTTTGAGTCGTTCACGAAAACAAGAGACCGTGAAGTAGAAAAAAAAAATTTATGATGAAACGTAGGATTCTTAACGTTTCAATTGGTGCAATTAAATGTTAAACCTTTTCGAGAAAAGATGTAATCGACTTCTTCCTTAGAAGAAGTTAGAGAACATAGTAGGTAATGATGATTGAACGAGTTTGATTGTGCTTTTTCCAAAAAGATTTATGATCGGACTTGCTTCAATCGAAAAGTTTACGACTCAATTATACGCCCTCCATAAAGTCGATGATTTTTGGCGCAATCTTTTACGGAAAAATACACCATATGAAGTATAAATTAGGAGGCCAGCCCACTTATCGTCTAACAATTTCTCCTCTCACAACGTACTTACTTTTTACCCCTTCCAGTTTCTGTAGATTTCTTGTTCATGCCTCTCCAGATCCTAACGAGTTCCAGCCCACTTGTAGTCTTTCCTGGAAATAACTTTATCCAGATGCCTTAGATCTCTTTCTTTCCATGTTATGACATGTCAAACTTAAACTGAAATGCATGATGAAGCATTGTCTTTCCGCAGCTAGGCTAGGCATCCAACAGCAATTATTGGCGAAACAATGTTATGGGTCACTTGATAATTAAAGATTGATTTATACTAATGGCGATATAAACAACGTATAAAATCGGGTTGGTTGGCTGTCAATCTTATCCATAATCAACCTGCTTGGTAGCTGGGGTTCTGCCAAACATGTGCAAAACACTGCCTCTTGGGTTGTATGAACAAGCCTTCTCTGTTCATACTGTGGACTTTTTCAATGTTCAGTATATATTCATATGGATGTTACTAATGTATCTATCTATGTACGTGCAATGTATGGGTCCATGGAAGTATGTATGAGATACAAGGATGTACACAGACGAAGCAAGGCCACATGATGGGTGGATTCATATTGCTAAGCTGCATATTTTAGGCTGGCTATCCAAAATATCGCAGAGCTAATGCTTACAGGAAGAAGCAGCTTGAGAAGGATGCAATTCGAGTGGCAGAATAGAAAAAAAGTTTGAATGTAAGAGAAGAAAAGGAAAACAAAAATCTAGAGGAAAAGATCCGTGCGACCCGAATCTTTGGCCAACAACTAAGAAGAAAATAAAAGAAATGAGTCCGAAATTCTCTGTGACGAGTCTGACATTGTCAAAACGTCCACCACACAATTCATATGTACAACAGATCCTTAAAGTTCAGATCACCTACGTTGCTCGTAAACGACGAAATGAGACATAATGGATGCAAGTAAGAGACATCTGTTACTGTCTCTGTTACCTAGTAATATATAAAGGGTCTTGCTCTCTCGAGATGTAATAGCGCATTAGTGCATGGATCCCAAATTTGCGTTCTAATGTGTCTACAAGAGTGAACCTGTACAAAATAACAAATATTAACACGATTCCACGAGCCTGTATCATGCTTTCCATTAGTTTCATACTCCAATTTTCCAAGTTAATACCGCTAGAGCAGAGGGTTTGAGCCAAGAATTTCCCGTTACATACTTATTTTCCCGAGATCTTCTACTAAAAGAGATGAGGCGCCCAAAAAAGTGTAAAATGTTTTGTCCTCAACATCTTCCATGAAAGCTAGTAAACTACTCAGATTATACAAGAAGAAAATGTCTAGGCAGCTGTCAAAATCAAAAATCAAGATAAAGGGTCACGCTTCTGCTCATTGCATATGGAAGCTTTAATCTCCAGTCTTTCTGCTTACGGCTTAAAGCTCTACCTTTGCTCTGCGGGTCCCTGTTTTCCTTGACATCAGCCAACCTCCATATACAAGTTTCTGAATCCATGTCAACAGAGTCCAGGAAGAAAACTCCATGTTTTTCTTGGCAATGAGGCTCTTCATCTTCGACATAGCATATATTCATCGGCATATCACGGAATCGATACAAGTCATCTGGCACCTTCAGTAACCTTTCTGCACCGGGAGATGATACCTAGGAGAGAAAAATTTCGTCAGATGTGCATATGGCACCATGCTGCTTAAAAAACTCTTAAAATTACAATATACAGTAAATAAATTGCTTGCTGGAAAAAAGCATAGCACGATTACCTCCAGAGCCAAATTGTCAGGAATTTTGTCAAGTGCCCCATCTTCATCTAGTCTCTTCTTGTATTCTTGACTAAAGCTTTCGATCTCCTCCATGCTGGGACATCCATATCTGGTGATAAGTCAAATTAAATTTTAAGATTTAGAATGGAACTGTTTGATATCTGAGATGGATCCACGAGTTTCTAGCAACAAACCAGAAAAGAAGGGAGTGCTATAAATGTTAGTGCAGTCTTTGTTGATGCTCTAGAGAAGCAAATTTCAACATATTCTATATCAAATCCAGGTGAGAGGTGAGCAGCCTTGTTATGTGAAAATTATCAGTTAAGTCTGTATTGCTCACATTTGAAAAGGATATTCTGAACAAGAGTTTGTTGATATCTACACAACAGAAGGTTCAGCTTACAAGTAATTTCCAAGTTACAAGAAACTGATGTGTAGGTGCATATCTATCCTTGACATGGTAACATGAATTCATGTAACATTGGGCAAGACTTAAAGAAGATAATCATAAACTTAACGAAAAATGGGCTCGCAATTACAATGAGAGACACTTGAGCACCACAACTCAAAATAGCAACTGTTACTTGGATTTAGAAAGTCTCACTTGTTAGACATTTTGTCAATTCTCACATAGATATATCCGCGAGGAGTAGTCTTGAAGGCATAGAGCTTCATGTCATCACCAAAATGTGACAATACCTCTCGGGCAATGGAAAGAGCATGCTCTCCCCATAGTACATTTTGCAAGACAATTCCACCACCATCGGCCCCATCACCAAGCTGTAATTTCACAACTTCTTAATGCAGTATAAAACAATATACACAAAACTGTGCCACAAAATGCTCAAAATGAATGATGAACCTTTGGCTCAGCCTCCTCCTCCTCTTCCCACTCATCAGTAAGTTCTCCATCTTCTTCCACTTCATCTGCAGATCTTTACGTCATTGGCAAACATTATACTATTTGTCATTCATGAGAAACAGCATATATCATACATCAAGCCACAATATATGGTGAAAACATTAGGCTAGTAAAAGATTGGCCAACAGAAAAGGCTTACAATTTAACAAATTTATGTCAATGGACCCACATAAGACAGCTTTCTTCTCAACAAAGAAAATACAAAAAGTACAAATAATTCAAGTACAATTAAAGAAGGTTGATGGGCACAAAGAGGAAACCGAATGTCCATGACAACAACAATTGCAAATACAATTACACCAACAAGATCACACAACTTGACAATTACCATCATCCACAGCACTCTGATTCTCACAAACTCTCACATACCCACAAAACTAGTTTGTTTTCAGGTAGATCGTTAAACAATGCAAATGAACTCTTTAAACTAGCTTCTTGTTGAAAATTGGCATTTTATAATATGAAAGGAAATGTTCAGAACCTCAACTCTTCTAATACATGGAAAGACGTCAATTTTGAGGCCCATATCTACAGGCATAAGCGAGTCTTTCCTATCCATTTATCAATAATACTAGGTGGGTCATTTGCGTCCAGGTTTTTGTGTTTTGCAATATGTATGAATGGGGATCCTTGTCGCTAGTTCTTCATCAAGCAAGAAATAAGTAATAAGATCTTCTGCAGAAAGAATAGCGGAGTGAAGCCTCGGCTGAAGTTAGTAGCATGAGGCTCCCATGATTGAAAAATAATGTCCATGAGGGCAAGTGATGAGTTAGGTGCATGACTTTTCGCTAAGTGAATTTTAAGGGTGTACTGCATGAGTGCCATGAGTGAACTTTGTGGGTTTGTGGGAAGAAGTGCAAATAAGTGCAATGTGCATTACAGTAAGTGCCAAGTATGTGACAAGTGCAACTTTTAGGTGGGTTGTAAGTGTGCAGATGCACTTGAAATTTGTAGTTCTGTCATTTCTAGTTTAATCCCCATCACACCTAATTCTGTCATGAACCAACATAATCAATCCATCAAGTATCGGGAGCATAAATGGCACTAAACATCACTTTACTCGATCATGGCAACAAACTAGTGACTCACTACTCAGTTAACTCCAATCCAATCGAGAACCAGACTTCTTGGTCAGCCCAGCAGAATCACATCAAGAAACTCCATCGAATCGCGAAAATTACAAAAGGAGGGGGAAATGGAGGAACTTGGCATACCCAATGCGGTTACAAACCCTCCCAAATCAGAGCAGCAGTATAATGCATCCTCAACTATTGAAGAGAATTCAAGGTTCAAGTGGTTCGATGAATGCACAATGACATCAAATAAAAGTTATACTTCCCTTTGCATACGATACAGCCCCTTTAGAGTGCTAAACTAATGAATTTTCAGTTCAAACTTTTCTTCTTCCCCAGAAGAAAATCCCAGAGCAAGCAAACAACAACACACCAGAAGCCACTGGAGGAGCAAAAAGTAAATAAAGTGGCATTGTACATAGCAACTTCTGTACACGGGATAGAGGGGGGGAAATCTGAAGTAGGTAAAAATCAAAACAGATGGTTCGGAACGGCAATACACAGAATCGTCAAGACCCACCAAACAAAACGAAGGTACAAAGGAATTCACAGAAAGAAACGACCGCAGACGAGTAAACGAAGGACTCACCAGGAAGTGGGGCCTCGTCAAGATCCTCGGCATCGTCAGAGGAAGAGGTCCTGGTGCTCAACAGCAGACGAGGAAGGTAAGAAGGGAACAGGCATGAGCTGGCTCTTGAGGAGAGATGGACGGAGCCCAGGACGCTACGGAAGTTGCTAGCTGAGGAGGAGGAAAGCCTTCTCGCAGATAACAAGGCTAGTGAAGAAGAAGAAGAAGAAGAAGAAGAAGAAGAAGAAGAGAAGAGAGAAGCAGCAGGAATGGTCGTGCCACCGCGAGAAGAAGGTCGAAGAAGAGAGCCCAGGAGGGTCCTGCCCATCGGATTCGCCATCTCGTCTTTATGCGGCGAACCAACACCTCCCTTCCTCTTCAGAGAGTCCCACTCCACGCAACCCTCCTCCTCCTCCTCTGGCCTTTTTATGAACTCACCGCGGTTTCATTTTCGTTGGAGGGTTTTCGGCGCACCGCCATGGCGGCGAGTTGCCGAACTCTAATCAACTCGGAGATCGAAATGTGATATTTCTGCGTTCCATTTTTCGCAAATCTTGCAAACGGTTGACGAAGACAATGGCACCATCGACCTCGTTCTTACCACGGGGAGAGACATGAGAAGGATCGTGAAAAATAATTACAAAGTGACGCTTTCGGGGATTCGCCGAAAAAATTTGCTTCAGCGACATAAATTATCATCCGTAATTAAAACATTTTCAATCATTTTTGAGATAAAATAACGGGAGGGTTTTTGCAGAGCTGGTGTTCACATGTGTGTTTGTTTCAGAAGCAAATACAGCGTAGGTTGGACCTGGACAGATTTCGTATTCCGAGAAACGGTCGAATGTTTTAGTACCGTTCGTCTGTAATGCGATACCGAGAAAGGTCTCTCACGAATTTTCATTACTAAGATTGCTAAATTGCCGGCATCGACTCTCAACGGTGGACAATCTCCTTTTTTCGGGGATGCATACGGCCCTAAAATCAGCCGTGACAGCGATCACATTATTTGTTGGATCTTGGCAAGGTCTGTATGTGGAGGATTGTTCTTGTTCAGATTTTAGAATTCCTGCTACCACAGTCCATTCCTTGCAAATATTCCAGTACTAAATGGGGTATGCTCAGTGGTTGTGTTGATCCAAGATGTGCTTCGGGCAGAAAAACTATTGCGCTTCATTTCGGGCAGGACACCAGCTCACCAGAGGTTGGCCAAAGTCGTCTTCTCGGTGCTCTCAAAACTCTACCCACATGAAAATTAAGAGAAGGACGAAGAAAAGAACGGCAATGAACAAAAACAACAAACAACTATGTACACTTTCTTGATGCATTATCTACAAACGGAGTATAGTGCGAAGCGTGTCCGAGAGATTTTGAATAGTCTGTTGTGCTTGCTCTGCTTGCAGTTCCTGGAGGGGCATCTCTTCATGACACCTGAGAATCAAGAGAGGAACGAGCGAACGAGCTGACCGGTTTAGACACAAGGAGAGAGAAGCAAATGAGGTACAAGAAACACTGGAAGCACATAGCCAACATGATCGTACATTTTGTGGTAGGCTAAAGCTTGGGCCAAATTCAGCAGTGTGGAGCTCGAAGTGAGTCTTCGATAAACACTCGGAGGAAGAGGCATCTGTCGCATATCCAAGTGAAAGTTCCTCGAATTAATAATTTGACAAGCAAACACAAGCACTGTGCAGAATGATGAATGCCCATGCATGAGTGTTGAGAGAGAGAGAGAGAGAGAGAGAGAGAGAGCACCTCATTTTGCCCCCTTCGGCCCTTCTTTATCTGTCCATCACCAGCAAAAAGCTCTTGCAATGTTTCTGTAGTTATGCTGCCACTATTATCTCTTTGTGCACTGCCAAGAACATTATCGGACAAGAGAGCAATAGGAGAAATATCGGTTGCCCTCAAGAAAGGAATTGGCACAGTGTTACCAGCTGCATATATGGACCAAAGCTGCAAGATAAACAGAACTCATGTGAGAAGGCCAACAAGTAGCATTCGTTCTAAGAAGCTTGCCTTAAGCACACACGCTAAACCCTGAAAGAACCAAAAGAGAATAATGATTAGGAGAATCTGCCAATGCATTTCCCCATAGTATCAATAAGAGAGGCAAGTACAGGGAAAAGCTTGATAATTGCGTTTCTATTATGACCATACGGGGGCATACCTTATCCTGTAATGCAAAAGCTTTTTTACTGATGGTTTCATTTTTTAAAAGGCTGTTGTTCACATCATTGCCGCTTCCAACTTGTGTTTGGCTCTCTGCCATTTTCACATTTTGCTCAGGAGAGCCAAATAATGGTGAAGCTGCTTCAAGGCTGTGCGCATTTTGATGTAGTTCTCCAACTGAAGTACTATTTGCAGCAACACCAACACTATTATCCACCCTGACAAAAATATCTCATCAATCCCTTGGATGATACAAAAATGAGGAAAGAGAAAATATTCAAGAAATATATAGATGCATAAGGATGAGGAGATCTGGCAAATTTGAAAGTGCAGGTTATCTTGAAAAACAAGCCTTCTTAAACAGAAAGGGATGAGTCATCAGTCACAAGAATTGGAAGAGATTCATCGTGCATAAACAAAAGCATCGTCCACAAACAGATAACAAGATTGTTTAGTCTATTCCACAGAAAAAAAACCAAGCACCTGAAATGAGCCGATTTGCTGCCATCTTGGGGCAATGAAGGGCTATCTACATGCGACACTGCGGGCAACTGCTCGGCATTTGAAGTCTCTGTTGATGAAATTGTCTTGTCAATCTTCTCCCCATCATGAACTATGACAGTCCCGAAATCACCTGTTCAACACCAGCTTTATGTGAGAAGAGTCTTCTTAAAGACAGCACCCCCAAAAAAAATTCAACATCATCTTTGTGGCATCGTACTACGAATGATGGATGCAATATTCTCTACTATAACAACTTTAGGCAACACACTAGTGTATAAGACAAGTCCCAAATTAATATCTGACAATAACTTGTAATTCGCATAATTGAGTGAGTGTAACTGTCAACTAAATAAAAATCCATACATAAAACTCCATACCTAACAAGGACGTCTCACAGATTGATTAAGCAGTTTTGACATTAATAGATTGAACTACAGAAATCTTTTCATAAAGAAAAAAAGGGGAAAAAAGAATTATTGTTGGAGAACATCTTCAGATGACAACTTATTGACACCACTCATACTAACTAGGTATGCATGAAAGATCTCTTTCCCAAATGCGTAAACAACGAGTAAGGAAATAAGGCAACAAGTACATTTAGCTTCATCAATGTTGCCTCTTAATACAGAAGAAATGTCAAATGGTTAAGATTGCTATCACTTGCCTCTTCATTAAGAGAGAGAAGAGATAAATAAGCTATCCATGCAGTGACTTTCTCAAACAAATTTGGATGTGGATAAACCAGTGCAACAGCAAGTTCGTCATTATGAACCATGCCATCTACAGGTCATGGAAATATCCACTATGCACCAAAAGGGTAATATTGCTGCAGCTATCTGACATAAGAACATCCAATTCCAGGATGCATTATTCATGAATTCTAATTTTTAAAGATAGAGGACTATTCATGGTGAAATAAGCCAGTGCTAACCTTCTTTGGTTTCTCCCAAGCTACCCAATGCTGGCTGCTTCTTAATAGTGCTACTCGCCAATATCTCATTTGTTACTTTTGGTCCAACAATGTGAGGTTTGGAAGGAACGGTATCGCCATAGTCCTCATTAACTTGTGGACCTTCAGGTACCTGTTATGTGGAAATATGTAAATAACAAAAGATGCAGTGATTTATGCAGGAAAAAGGAGTAAAATTATTCATACACCATCCACGGACAAAATTGGAGCAACACTTTGTGCTTGTTCCATCAAGGCCCTGCTTTTCCTTGCTTCTTCAAGCTTTGGCAACATTGCAGAAGCTCCACATTGGCATTTTTCAATGAATTTGTGCTAAATTTCATCACGATACAATAACCTCCAGTTAAGGTCAATAATGGATCCACACCAGATAGATCAAAAGAAAAGATACCGGAAAGAAAGGGACTATAGAAGAAAAACTATACCACCAAAAGAGAACAGGGAACTAAAACGTATTATCCAAGGTCGACGTGTAAAATAATTTCTGGAGAGGACCCTACATTCGGTGTAAACTCCAAAAATATTATACTAAAAACACATGGTATTACCAGAAAAATTTCCATTATAGAGCATCTTCACCCAGCTTAATCTAATTACTCAGAAAGAGGTTGATATCTTTGGAGCACGTGAGGCTCGGATAAACTCACCAGGTAAATAAGCATCTAAGAAAATCAGTATCTTAAAAAGCCATATGAAACTCCAGAGATTACTATAAGAAACTAAACAAGAACCATTGTCACGGTTTCAAAGATGAAATGGTTTTCGGCCAGTATACTAATTTCAAATGTTCAGGTGATATCCATGTTGCACTTACGCTCTTATTAAACAGGGAATGAAATGCGCGGATATAAGTTTTAGCGGATACCTTTAGCATCTCAGATGCAGTAGGGCGCAAACGCGGTTCTTTTGTAAGGGACTTCGCAACAAAATCATGGAAAACAAGGGACCTAAAGCATACAATAAGCAGAGATCAGACCAACAAATTTCCAATTCAAGCTCAAGCAATCTTCAAAACAGTTGCTATGGACTATATTATTGCACAAAGTCACCAGTATAAGGTGTAAACAGGTATCAAATGCTTAATGTTCCATAATCTGTTTGCATATATAAGGTGTAAATAGGTATCAAATGCTTAATGTTCCGTAATCTGTTTGGATAAGTCATTTTCTTTAGTATAGCAGAGAAAACTCAGTTACAAGTATAGCTGTAAGCATGAAAAGAAGGGAATTATATGCCAATATATAAGGGTGCATAAATGGCTTGAAAACTAAATCTGCCCTCACAAGAGGCCCTCATAGCTCATATAATTATATATTAGAAAGTTGAAACATTATGGTGCACCAATCAGACAAGACGGAAATTAAGAGAGAGTTTTCAGGCAAGTCATCCAAGATAGTATATGATATAACCACAGTGATACACAGAGTAAAAATTTGAAAGGACAGCCAGAGCGTCCAGCAAACATTCACAGAGTGTTAGGGGAGTCTTGGTACAAACCATTTTTCTTTGTCCTCAAGCATTGGAGCTGGTTCAATTGATATCATAAATAATACCTGTTAGAGAAAAAACTTGTATAATATATAAAGCACACAAAAAAAAATCAAAACCAACAAGACAAAGGAACTATAAAATACGAAAGGAAAAGATGCATCATTCATTTGTTCCTAATAGGTCACTCGATAGTCATAATAAACATCTAACATGCACAGGCCGCCACAAATACATACATTGCTAAATGCTAAAGCATGAATCAGACTGGACAGAATTGCAAAAATTGCATGAGCCAATGATGCTATGCTACTTCAAACAAAGTCCGGGTGGGTGACAGGCCTCACGTGGTCCGACTGGTAGTAACTAAAATGTTTGTTAGAAACTTCTCTTAACCACATGATTTTTGAAAGTAGGTAGGTATGAGAAAGAACAATGCGGCATACATACATAACTTTGTGCAAATCTAGGATCCTATACAAATGCAAATACTTCCAAAGATGGTACAGCAGAGTGCCATGTATCAATATGTCAGTTCTTTCAACAATTCAGCATTTCAATATATCCGCGCTACTTAAGAGTTGCATGACATTATCAAACAATGAGCCATATTAAAAAAAATAGCAGCTAAATTTTGATTGCATTAAATTTACCAACTTACCCTCATGGGATGGACTGATGCTCTAGGAGGAAGTCCCTGAAAATTCAACAGAATAGCAGATTACATGATTTTCTGGTGTTACTGCTTATTCATGTTCAATTCCAAAACTTTTTGAGGTAGATCAATAATTCTGACTCAAAATAGCCTAAGAAGGCCCAATATCAAAGTCAATCTGATGAAAGTCAAATGTACACTTGGTTCGGACAAAAAGAAAATTGTACGCTTCCAAAAGAGATGAGCAGGTGCACAACACAAGATTTTGCTTTGCAATTATTAAAAGTCAGCATTTTAGCTTTAATTAGTTATCAAGCTCTTTCGCTACTCCTCCTCTCTATCTAGTAACAGTTGCAGCTTGAGCTGGACCAGAACCAAAAAAAGAAGATGTACACGTTGCCCATGCTCATTGACAATAAGACTCAAATTCTAAATTTGTGTACCTCTGCCATTTCAATTGCAGACACACCAAGAGCCCAGACATCCACCTGAAGAAATAAACATACAATTACATTAAGATGTAAGTGCAATCAGCAATCTAGTTTAGTATATGTCCATATCATCTTCTGGAAAGTAAAACAATGAGGCTTCTAGTCAGTATGCCAAGTGTTTGTCACTGTCTTTTTCTCCCTTGTTTATTGCTAAGGTACATATAGAAGAAAAATTCCCTCCATCTAGTGCAAAGTAGGATTGAGGTTCTAGTATACACTATAAAAGGCAAATTACATGACTGACAACAATTCCATGCGAAAATACTCGACAGGCATTCTAGGCATTCAGAGGACTAAATACTTGTGACCTCTTACATCTATATTGAACCATGTGAAGAGTGAACTTGCAAATCTTGCAAACCAATACAGTTCTAATTTGCAAACACGAGGCAAGAAAGCACAAAGGCAAAAAATTGCTCAAATGAAAAGAATCGCCCAGATCAATAAGCAGATAAGATACCTTTCCATCATAGCGGTTTTCTTGAATAACTTCTGGAGCCATCCAGTGTGGAGTTCCAATAAACTGCATTATTATATATAGTCAAGTAAGATTGTGGCCTCATCCATAAGAAATACAAACAATATAACCAATGTGGTCTCACAATTGTTGCCACGAGAACCAACATCTAAGCAGCAACTCACTCAGCAAAATGGAGGGAAAATGTTAAGAAACAGCATGTGGTGAAAAGTGAGTACATAATTGAAGAGTGCTATCCGCACACAGATGAGGTATTGCACGAGATCTTTTATTGTGAGTAATCACATTACAAAAGCAAATTTATGATATGAGAACTTTAGGAGAAAAGGTATCATTAGGAAACATAGATGGTGATGAAGACTACATGCTCACCAGTCAGAGACTTAAAGTTGATTCCTCAAGGTGTATTATTACCTTTTCTTTAGTTCAGCTCCTAAGCTACGTGACATGCAATAACTTTCAATTTGTTAACCAGCCAAACACCACTCCAAGGGGAATAATAGAAAATGATTTTATTAGAGGTCCTTGTCAATATCTAAGACTTAACTTCCTCCTAAACAAAAACTTCTTCAACCACAGTCCTTCAGATCACAGCAGCTTGATATACTATGATGAGAGTTTTCATCTGAAACGCCAATGGAAAGGTTTTGCTTTGCGGTGGAAGAACAGACATTTCTCTCTATATCCCCCGCATAAATGTTTTCAGAAATTTCAGCTAATCTTTGTACATGGAGCTTATATTTGCTTGGCTCATTAAACATTCAGCATGATCCGCTGACCAAATGGCTCCCAAACAAACTCAATCGGAAACATTTTTGATAAACAACTCATTTCATTTTAAAACAATAAACAACTCACTTAAAGGTCACCTGGAAATGTTAATGATAGAGTACATACACAAAATCCAATCTACCAACAAACAGCATCCACTTATCAGTCCACAAAAACGCATAGTAACAGAAAAGCCCTAGTAAGTATGTTCTCCCTCTCATTTTAAAAGCTAAAACAAACCGAGTTTCAAATTAAACTGCCAAAAAGCATCCCAGAAAATAGTATTATTTCAAGACCTGCAGATTGGTAGAGTGGTCTTATGATGTCCTCGATGAAAATGGAAACTCTTGATGTATCAAGTGGTGAATATCTCCAGGTATTCCAGCTTATATACACATCTTTTGAAATGTCCAAACTTTTAAAGCATATACATGTTTGTATGATTCAGATCTCTATCAAACTTAAGATAAATCTGTAAAAACCCAAATTACAATGCTCGAAATTTTCTTTGCAACAGGAAGACAGAAGAAGAGTTTTACCGTGTTACGCTTGGACATGGTCCTGGTAAGTTGCGCAGCTACCCCAAAATCACCTGCTCATTTCATAAAAATAATACGAATTAGTGTCCAGATGATGCATTTTACATCAAAAGAATGAGACACTCACACTGTTGAAGCTAACATACATCAGAGATCGGTATCCTATTAGTCTTAAAAGTCCTACCGATTCCATTTTCTCATAAGGAAAATTATCTATAGGTAGCTCAACTAATGTAGGTATCATGCACATGCTTCCCTCTATTTTTGAAGTAAGGAATCGTTTATGAAAAAATTACGTAGTACAACTGTATAGTGAGGAGCGAAATATATGGTCTTTTTTCTTCTTTATATTCAATTGTTATTCAGATTTCATTAATTTAAGAAGTTTGTTATTCAGAAAATTGACACCACCCCCACCCCCCAAAATTGTTTTAGCTCCATTATGAGGACTTGCACCAAATTGGAATGTCTCTCATAACCGACATTCTAGATTCATAGTGTTACATATTTAATAAAAAGCAATAGAAAACGAGGATCTACGAATTCTTCTCCTTAATGCTATGTTTGGGATGAGGGGTGAGGGAAATTAGGGGACAAAATATGTCTTACTCACAGAACTTTTGAAATTTTCGCCATTTTCCACCCAAACTTTCATTCCCCCCATTTTCCTTCATTTTCCAAACACAGCATAAAAGAATTTGTTACTGTTGTCATATCTAAACTTTAAATCGCCAGATACATGAAGTGAGGACTTTGACACCGAATTCATGAAATAAGATCATACAATGTTCTCTTAATGTGAGAATTGTGGAACCACTGTGTGGCTCTCTGATATGCAAGCTCTTATAGTATCACACTTATCTCATAATCACCTCTCATCATCACCCAAATTTTAGTTTTTAGGATACCATGTTGAAGAGAAAAACTGTTGATTGAACTTGCAGCTGCAAAAATATCAAACTTACTTACCCAGCTTGACTTCCCCTTGTTCAGTCAACAAAATATTTCCCCCTTTAATATCTCTATGGACCTTGAAAATTGAATGCAGATAAGAGAGGCCCTAAACAAGGATAAGAAAAGTGTAAGTGCAGATGAAACTATGTTTGAGATTCAGAAGATTGGCTAGTGGCTGGCGAATGTGAGAGCATTACTCATGTACATGCTCTATAACCTCACAATTTTTAACAATAACATGCATCCATACACAAATGAGATGCACTGGTTCACTAGTAGATGAGATAACCTTGTCAAAATTGACTAAAGATGGTTAAAGTGAGCATCTATAACAAACTCTAGAAGAGAATAGTGCATATCTATGATCAGGCTCACTCATTTTCACTATGTCAAATACTGACACTGGTGCCTGCCAACCATTACCTTCAAAGCTTCCCTGCAGATATATGCTATCTGATACTCCTCTAGAGGCTTTTCAGTGACATTCATTAGGTCAGCGACACTTCCACCCCCGCAATACTCCATGACTATCTGTGACAAAATCAAGACGAGTGAACCCCAATGACCATGACCTCGTTAATAAATTAATAACATAATTTTACAAGAGATTTAAAAACTTATCCAGAAGAAAATAAGCTGGACCATGAGACATGATTGCAAAAGATCAATATGATTTCCCTACCCAAAGATACTCCTCCCCCTGGTAGCTTCCAAGGTAACGCACAACATTGGGATGATTACACTGCTGCAACATCTCAATCTCGCCTCGAATTTCCTCGTATCCCTCCTCCTGTGCAACGAAACCAGCTGCTCTACTTAAAACAACTCAATCCAATTCAAATGCAATCACAAACTCAACAAACTACATAAGAAAAGCTGGAACACACCCCTTCACACAATGATATCACTTTGATGGCGACAAGTTCAGACGTTCTTCTATCTCTGGCCTTATAAACAGCACCATATGAACCTTTTCCTGCCAAACCCAAACGCCATCCTCACTCAACACAAAAACCAAAGCACAACAGCCAAGCAAGCAATTGCAATTTGAATTCCACCAAATGCACTAGTTTTAAGTAAATTCTAACTCAGACATGCAATACACAAAGTAAATCTTACCTAGCTCACTAAGCAAATCATACTTAGAAGTAGGATCCTCTCTCGTGATGCTCTCTGGCATCGAACTCGAAGAGATCTTACTGGCGGGCCTCGCCCCTTCATCCCCCTGCGAAGAAGAGGATCCACTTCCCTTCCTCTGCTGTTTACCTCCAAATCCCCCCTCTCCAACGGCCTGCATGCTCGCCACGGCCCTCCCCATGGTTGAATCCTTAAAACTACCAGCACCACCACCGCTACCGCTACCACCACCACCAGTCCTCCTCACCACCGTCCCGCTGACGGACTCCCTATCGTTCGTTTTCACCACGAACGTCGAGAAATCGCCGCCATTGTCGTCCTCGTCGTCATCCTCGAAAGTCTCGATCCTCTTCTTCAAGCTGCTATTGTGGAAATCCGAGTAATCCAAGCCCCCGCCCTTCACCGAGGCCGGCAACGGAGAAGAATAGGAAGAATACGAGGAGGGGGAAGCTTTGCTGCTCCGGTTGCGGCTGGTTTTGACGATCATGGTGCCGAAGTCCTCGGGGTCGTTGTCGTAGTCGATCGAGGCTCCGCCGCCGAAGTCCTTGGGGAGGCGTTTGAGGAGCGGAGGCAAGGAGGAGTCGTCCTCCTCCTCCTCCTCTTCTCCTCCTTCTCCGCCGCCGGCGTCGTTCTTGTAGACCATCGTGGCGTATATGTCGTCGCCCTCTCGTTGCTTCTCTTCGTCGGAGTCGGAGTTATGGTGGATGACGACGGTGGAGTAGAGCTCGGATCTCGTCGGAGGCGGGCGGTTCCTGCGATCCATGACGCCGGGCGGGGGAGTAGGAGTGAGGAGTACGGAGCCGAAGAATGAGGCAGAGATTTGGCCGAGCTCGCGGGACGCGACGATGAAGACCCGACCCGACCCGACCCGAATTCCGAGCTCCGACGAGTCCAACTGGACGTGCCGTGCTGTGATGATGCTGATGGATAGGCCCGGAAATGCGATGGGCCTCGCCCGATGGGCTCCATCGGTTCGGACCGGATCCTAGCGTGACCCGAGCGTAAACAGTCCATGAATTTTGGTCCGATATGGAATATGGCCCATGAACTTTTAATCTATTCAATATATTCATTGAATTTTACTTCGATGTGCAATGTAGTCCATGAACTTTTAATTTGTTTAATACCGTCCCTGAACTTTTTGTACAAGTTTGCTTTAGTCCATTAACTATATGAAAATGTTCAACGTAACCATTCCATTAATTCAAGTTCAGAGACTATATTGAACATTTTCATAGAGTTCAGGGATTACAATGAACATGTACCAAAAGTTCAGAGATTGTATTGAACAAATTAAAAGTTCAGAGACTACATTGCACATTTGACCAAAATTTAGGAACTATTTATGTCATTATCCCTTTTTTCTACATCGATTCCGAAATGATAATTTGAAGCCAATGTTATTCATCTATCTTTGTCATAATGGGTTACGAGTTACATCATTCATGACAAGCAGCAGAGATTAGCATACACAAGAAAGAAATTGCATTAGAGGATTCGATCCCGTAGACTTATATTCCAGTTCTTTAACTCCGAACCAATGTACCCGTGAAGTTTCCTTCGGAACTCCAAGAGGCTAGCGAGAAGTTTGTGATGTAGTAAACCAAGGATCATTGGTTAAATAATTTGGCTATCCGTTTGTTTTTCTCTCCGTTGATTTTGTAGTCCGCCGGGTTGGTGACTGTAAAAACAGAGCAGAACTAAAAGCACTTGCAGACATGCCGAGGATCTGATTCAGGAGAAACTGATCAAGTCTTGGAGCTTTGACCATTTTCAGTTTTTACAAATGCAATGTACAATCAAAGCATTCAGGGAGACCTGAAGACGCCACATTTCACCACATTACACCTAAGACCATGGAACAGCAGGATGTGATGTGACGCAAATGCGATGCGTGGAAGCTAGTGGGACCTCTTCCTTGGCTAATAAGGAGCTCCTTCCTCCATCGAAATGTTTTAGTCATCCGCAGATGAAGACTTCTTGTGTAACCAGAAAATTTGGGATTTGCTTTCAGGAATTTTTTGAGATCTCTGTCAGAAACCTGTGCAGGGCTTGGGGCTTTGAGAAAAATGGAGAATGATCAGAGCCTTTGAGATGGAAAACCTTTTCAGGAGGATTAGACTTTATCATGGTCTCCTGCAAGGAAGCAGGTATAGCATAATCTTCCTGGGTTTCTATGTAAAATCGACGAACAGATCCGTAGTTTGCATCTGACAAAGTGAGTTTTTCCAGGATTGGTGCAAAAGGTATTGCCCTCATCGACACTGAGGCTAATGCAACATCCTGAGACAGGAAAGAATATTTATGTTAGACAGGATAGTGTCAGAGTTCAATAGCAGAAGATATTTTGCAATTCTTTCTCTGCATTCTCATGAACTGAAAACTGGCAAGATATCCCTTGTTTATGGTAACAACGCATAAATGACCCTTCAAGGGCTTTTAGGAAGTAGAATGGAATTCAAAAGCAACAGATTTCTGTCTAACAGCATTTCAGGAGTCATGGTAGGGCTGTTTTGCATCACTGTATTTTACATTCTCTAAGTATGTACCTTTGCAGGACTTTGATTGAATAACAAGTCTTCCAACAATGCTTTGTCCAGATCGATAGCAGTCGGAGGTTGATCCTTTCCATTTCCATATAAGAATATCTGGGCTTGTCGCATCAGATCACTTGGACCTTCCTGCAGAAAAGATAAATATCAGTGATGGCACAAGCCACGGATAAACCTCCTGCGTCATTTATTATTTTTCAAACTTGATAAGAGTGTCATTTGGAGCCTCTAGATTCAGCTCATCAAAATTGTTGTAAGTTGCCCTAATGTTTTATGTAACTTGTCTACGAGAGAAGCCCATGCTGAATTCAGAGGGACTAAGTTCAGATATAAAGTGCTGCACAGGCGTCTTCATGGGTTACAAAGATGGTGAGGGTTTCGTCACTTGTCTCCACTAATTCCTCATCCTCATCAATTTCTTTTTCTGTCTGTCTCTATTTCTTTCCTCTCAAGGGTCTAGTAAAAGTAGCAAGCATTCCAAGGAATTTAACCTGTAAAGAGAACATATCAAGGACGCTTTGGCCATTCTTCAACATTGCTGCTGCAAGAAAAACAGCTTTTGCTATCTTATGAGGATACAACTCCATCAGATATGAGACACAAGCACCACCAAAATCATGTCCCACCAAGATCACCTGCATTTGTTTTGGATAATAAGTGAACCAAATGACAGTTGGCCGAAGATGAATGACAAACAAAAGAGGAAAGAAGATTAATCAAATTGATAAATCAAGAGAGTGAAAGTACCTTCTCTTCATCTCCTAACTTGTCAATTATGTCGATCAATGGTTTCACGTATTCTGCCATACTGTTAATGTTGTTTGTATCAGTTGATTGAATTCCTGAACCCATTAAGTCGACTGCATCCACCTTAAATCCTCCTCGGCGTAGGAGTGTAATCGTTTTATACCAGCACCATGCGCCATACCCTCCCCCGTGAACAAGAACAAAATGGCTGGTTTCCACACCAACAGCCTCCAAAGCCTAAGAAATAAATAAAAATAAATCACTGTATAAAAAAAGAGGATATGAGAGATAAATTAAAGCATTTGCATGTGCTTGTCACATTAGAAAACCAGCCTTAAATCCGTATTTATTAAGAGGCTGTATCTAATCAATGGAGCTACAGGTTCTGGATAAACCCAAAAAAAAGCATTAGTTATCATTAGTTGGACCACTGTCCCTAAATCCTCCCACATGTTTGATTAATGCACATTAAACTTACAAAAGATTAACTATACATCATGGTTTTTGCAGCCACCAATCAGCAATCCATATATTGTTACCAGAACAAGGGTCGGTCTCGCTTTTAGGGAGGAGAACCTCCCCACGGTTAGCGCTTAGTTAACCCATTTATAAGCCGATTCTTATGCTAAATCATTCAGAGTTACCAAGACGGAAAAGACCCAGGTCGCAATTTTGATCAATGGACGCATGCCTGCCTATGCCAAATAGAAGAAGTTACTAGATTACATCATATTAAAAGACTGGAAGAGGACTTGAATAGGAATGAACCCACCCATCTCTGTCTCTTCTGGTCAAGTTAATACTGCTCACATGCTCAACAGTGACTGAAACCGCAATTATGTAACGGTGCATATAGAAATTAAGATGTGGGATGTCTGTTTCAGCGTGACTAAGCGCGCGGATTCGTTCAAGCAGAAAGGTCCAGGGGAAAACAGAACTGGAAAGAGACATTTTCTATTGCCAAAAGTCGTTATCTCTACAGTCCTCCTTTGTCCGCTCTATGGAAAGCATCAAAATGTTGACCCGCAACGCAAGATTGGCCGAGCATGCAAGGAAAAGCCAGCAGGAATTGAGAAATTCCAAAGAAGAAGAAGAAGAAGAAACCGATCTCTGAGACTCCACGTTAATGGAAACAGAGAACAAATCTTTGAAACAAGCGTTGCGGAGCAAGTAACTACGCACTGAGTTAACGTGATCGATTCTAGGCAACACCTACATCTACACCTCCCGAGCGAAGTATCAGGTAAAAATCGCACGCAAGGAGACACGAACGTTTCTAGGGGGAGTTATAGCGTCGTCCCTCGATCGTACCTCATCAGCCAGAATTTGCGGCAGCGCCGGGAGAGGGAAGTCGCTGCACGACCGCCTCCGTGAGGTGGAGCTCCTGGCGACACTCTGCTTGACACCACCCTTCCCCGGAACAGAGGGAAACAGAGCCGAAGTGCTCGTGGACCGATTGAACAAGCGAAGAGAATCGCCGTCGTCGTTCCCGCCGCCGCCGCTGCCGCTCCGGTACTGCTTCAGGAGCATGACCGCCGCGATCGCCTGCTCGCGGATCAGGGCGTCGCTGTAGGTCTCCGCTGCTGCCGCCGCCGCCGCCGCCTCCATCTTCTTCTTATTCTTCCTGCTCGAGGCCGAGCCGGGCAGCGACGAGGCGGCTCTCCCGGCGGTTGACGACGACGACGACGGGGCCGGCGGAGGCGAGCGGGGCGGGCTCGCGGTGCCGGAGGACTTCGCGGCGATCTTGGGAGAGAAGCACGCGAGGGAGTTTCCCATGGTTTCGGCGGATGGAGAGTCCAAGGTCGCGGCTCCGAGGCTTCGGTTGGAGGAGAACGTGTCGGAGGTTACGTTGGTGGTGGTGTCGTCGTTTTGAAAGTGCATGCGACGACATAAAGAAAGAACCAAGGCTAGAGGAGAGAGAAAACTCTTTTTTCTTTTTTTTTTTCGCGAGGAAAAATAATATTAAAATATACGAGAGATAGAATCAATCACGATAAAATAAAATAAAAATCAATTGTCCTGCCCTTCACAAATCTCCAAACTCCATCACCCGGGCACCTCCATCGCCGATCTCCCCACCGACCCACCACCGACCCCGCTTCCCGACCGACAACCCCCCCTCCCTCCCTCGACCACCGGCTCTGTCGGGCCGCGCAATATGTATCTCCGGTTCCGACCCTGATTCCACCTCCGCCGCTCTTCTTCTTCTTCTTCTTCCCGATTCTCGAAGGAAAACCATGGATGAAAATAGTAATTGGTGTCGGTGTGCAAAGTGGTACGTAGAGCCAAAGTTTGGGTTTAAAGATGCGATTTTGAAAATAGGGATACGAAAGTGATCGTGGGAGAAAATGAGTATGTTTTTGATATACATGAAATTTTTGCTTTGGGTCAATCTCATCACTTTTTGGAAACGTAATCGATTCAATATCGTAAAATTGAGTTTAGTTGGACAATATTTTTATATTTAGGTGAAATTATATTGGGTACGGTTTTTCCTTGTCTTTTCCAAGTATATCATCACAGCAAGACAATACGCATGTCGAAATCAAGAAATGGGGAGATTTAAGCTGGACCCTATGATGAGATCTCCATTTGCCTCGTTCTAATTTGGCTTCTTCTTCTTCTATTTGGTCACATTTGTCATAAAAACAAACTCACATTAAACGGAATTTTACAACACTTGGTCAAAGTGAAGAAAATGGGGAGCCAGCCCACGCCGATGCCGACGACCGTTGTACGTCAATGCTGACCAGGGAATCCGCCACCCTATACGGCCCGCTTTTCATTAAGGAGCAATCGGTATCGGCGACTAATCTTTTTTCCCGCCGTTGTTATGGTATCTCAAACCCGCTATCAAGATGTCTGAATCGAGTTGTATATGTTTTTCCATTTGAACAAGGCCGTTACTGCTGAACCGGATTTATACAGCATGGATCAACTTTGATACTTCCCTCCCGGCTAGCCATCAAGAACATCCACGTAAAACTTAGGAGACTCCAAAAGGACTAGTGATTGTCACGAAAAAGGGAATTAAATCGAGATTTTCCACAAGCCTAGTCGATAATTAAACATTTTAAGACTCGCCCTATAGACTAATTTACGTTAAATCAAACCCAAATTGAGCGTAAATAGCCAATCTTAGTTGATCAAATCAATGGAGATGGGCCAATAGAACTAACTAATTACATTTTCGCTGGAGGATAAACCTATATTAAACGACTTTATGCTAGTCTTTAAAGCTCAAGGTCGAGTGAAACGAGTATCCAATGATCGAGCATGCCTCGAGCGTACAAAAGGTAAAACATAATTCAATCAGACTTGAGCGAGAGTTCCGAAAGTTATACAACATTTAGGAAGAATATGGTGTATATATCTATCGGATAGGCACCACATACCCACACGATCAGGCGAACCGATTTTTCCTATATGCATGAGAATGTGACTAGTACGACTCTCGGGATTAATCTGAACGGGACACGTCGCGATTCGAATGGCAAAATTTGTGTCATCCAAATCAAGGACTCAATCTCTCAAACTATTTAGGGTCCAGAAACGAGCATGTAAAAACAAGGGAAGTGAAGTGAACTATCTTCCTTTGGTAGTCGAACATCGAGCCCTCACAAGACGAGACTTCATTTTGACTCGAGAATTTGTGAGCTTGAAGAGATGCCGCGCCGCGAGCGCGAAAGAACACAGTTTCTCTTTCACTATACCCCAATAGGCAAAGTACTTTCATGATCCTCGCAACTATTGGAGAAGTTCCACATAAATGTGGATCTGAACAGGATTCGGACTGAGCAGGCGATATAACGCCCGACCAACTTCTTGCGTCAAAACATTAAGACAGCATATCCAGACACCCAAAAAACATGTGGTCAACACAAATGGCACATACCATAATACAGGACAAGGCTGGTCCTTTTCAACCTTCTGCCAGTCCCAGCGAGTTTCTGGTAAGGTGACTTTAAATGATAATCAATGGTGCTTTGGCTAGACAGTGGACATGCCCTGTTCTCCATAATCTTCTCCACATTATACAGCTAAGATGAAAAGGCACTCGGAATCAGTACCTACCGTCAACCTTACCCAAACATTCCACAGTCCATGCAAATAACTCTCCCGAGCCTTTCGATTCGAATGGGACGCTCTGCAAATCACTGCATCAAATGGAAGTGCAAAAGAAGAAAAATAACAAACCGGGCCTTGTATATCGTAAATTATGAAAGCTGGAGGTGAATCCACATACACTTGTTTGCTATAAATAACTTCTCTAGTTTTGAACCAAGTATAAACACACACTGATACAACTGACTAGCCTCAGACTTCAGAATCACGCCCAGCTTGATTTTCAGCTACTGCCAAAGTCCCCATCTAAACCTGTCGATACAATGTGTTGAAGTGTGCCACAAGGTAATTGTCCCTTTGAATAAACCGGCACATGAGAACATAATGCTCCAATTCCCGCCTAAAAGCTGCAAGTTCCCATAAATGTTAAAATACGTACTCATTTCCACCAAGGACCTAGAGTTACTGAAGACATCATCTGGCAAAATGGCCTCTTGATAAAGGAATGGCTTCACCAAAAATTATGCGAAGGCAAGACCAAAACAGGGCTCTTTGGTTCCATTCAGTCTACTGCCTGCTGATAATCAAGTCACCGTCTAAGGCAAATTTTGACCATGAAATAGAAGGGTTCTTGGCAGAGAAACCAAAGAATCAGCCATGGATTTTCAAAACATGCTGTGCCCTTCCTTAGCCAGTCCCAGTTAACTAGACCGCACATACTTCCATCACACGCTGCACCTTTCAGGTACATTACCATCAGATAATTTAGTGGATAAGACATAAATCATTGAAAATAGCCTGAATCCATTCCAATTCCCATCATAGCTCCCACCATGCAGCCTAGATACCAGCCCTTTTTTTTTGGCCAAAAGATATCAGCCCATTGAATAGCAAAGTTGTTGATGCATATCTTCTGCTGTTAATACGACGTCAGATACCTAATAAATAATTCCAACCAAATAATGACCAATAGTTAGGAAGGCCTAGAGCAATCAAATAAATACAGCACAACCAAGAAAATGTTTCTCAAACAAGAAAAGCACACAAAATAAGTAATCCATCATCTTATAGTACTTTTCTTTACCAAGGCACTTCACCAGGAACAAAATATAGTAAAAAAGGAAGGAAAGCACCGAATACTCACTAAATTTAAGGATAGGCCGAATACAATATATGGCATTCACATAGCACCAACCATCACCATACCTGTCAAAATTGATCCTGGGGATCCTATCTCGGCATGCTATAATACTGAGGAGCCAGCTCAGTTAGCCACAAGTAATCGATTCTGGTTATGTTGCGAATGTACTTGTGATTAGTTTGAACTAATTCATTGAAGATAATGCACTCTGGTTTTGTCCGAAATAGTACAGAAGAAGGATGGATCTGCACCACCTGACCACTTGCCAAAGCCCTATTTTCCACAACAAATATGTATGTAATGTTAGGAAACGGAGTCTATAACAGAACTGGAAAGAAGACATTGATTGTAAGTTGGATCTATGTTAACATCTTAAAGATAACAGGAAGTGGTCCGAATCAACACCCAGCACCTGTATGAACCTTCTGGCTGCTTCAAAGCCGCGTTGAGGAAAAAGGAAGCGGCAAGGCATCTCCGAAACTGAACCATGTCATCGCCACAGGAAGCAATTTGAAGCCCCATTTGCTCTACATGTCCCTGAATCTGTCTGCACGACATCAAACAAAATGCATAGTTGGAGGATCAATAATGCTTGTCCAAAGAAATATGAAGAAGCAAAGGCAAAATGCAAAAGTTCATAGACAACCTGTGAATGTCACGTGCATGTCTAAGGGACCTGCTGTTGATAAAATTTTCTTTGCACCATTTTTTGAGAACTTTGTCGTCTTTTTCTTTACCTTGACCACTCTTCCTCTTCTTCAAGAACTCATCAGCAGCTCGAAATACATTAATCAAGGTGATGTGGTCACCCTCTGCACTTGAAAAGCATTTCATTGCAGTTCTTGCCTGGCCCGACAAAGTTAAGTAGTCAGCTCTCCAGTTATATACAGAGGAATGGAAGTCCATGAGGTGCAACCAAGCAGAAAAATTCACCAATATCAACCAGCCAGAAGGTTGCTTCAAAAAGAACCCAGCAAAACAAGACTAAAACGGAGGGAAGAGCCTATGAATATAATTTCCGCTTATTGCAAATTAATGAAGCAATTGCCCACTCAAGGACTTGAATATGACATTATCACAGCTGAACTCACAGTTAAGGATATTGGATGTTCATGAACTCACAAATCCTGTAGATAGCACTGCAGGCATATACTTGACCTTTCGGGCACATTACACTTGAATACAATTACAACTAAAAAGATATATATATATATATATATATATATATATATATATATATAAAACCACATTTTTGTTACAACATACTTAAGCTAATCCTTTCAGTAATTCAATTTACATAATGTGCATCCACTCATTGCATAAACGACTAGAAGAAAAGCAAGATGAAAGGCCTCACAAGTATTAGTTCATAACTTACCTCTTCTAACTTCTCACGAGGGGCATAAAATATGGATTCCACTGAAAGCATCGCAACTGCAATCAACATTTCTTCCAGGCAGTTAAACTGACTAGCCTGGATGAGTGCCTTTGAATAAATGGGATCTAGGGGAAGCCGAGCCATCTGGTGCCCCAATGGATCTGATAGTTTACAGTCTTCTGTTAGAGCACCCAGCAAAAATAACTGCTCCAACGATTTCACAATAGCTGCCCTGATCAAAAGCTTACGGGTGTCATTACCCAGCAACAAATACAGAGAGTAGTAGGTAATGTAAGGATGCCCTATCATAACCCATTTTATGTCACATAACTTCATCATAACTTTTCAGCCAATTTGACCTGAATAAGCGTCAATACAGGAGAAGCACCATAACAAATTCATGTGGGAACAGCATGACAACCTGGTCCACCCATATGTTGCATAAGAATGAATTACCAAATTTTCCAAATTTTTCCATCAGAGAAATGGTGAAAATGAAGGTGAAATAGAAAATTTTTTGGTACAAAAGAGACAGGGTGATGCGAAATGAAGGATAATTTTCAAAGGACGATTTAATAGCCAAATTAAATCATTAATATAGATGAATCCAACAAAACTAGATCAAATCACACTAATCAAGGCTTAAGAAAGATGACATGTCCACAGCCTAGTATACACACTTAAGTATGCACAAGAGAGTAAATGATAAAGCAATGAGATCTCTCAGGGAATAACCTTGGTGGTTTTTCTATAAAGTCAAACCCAATAACATCATCCACACCCAAAGCCTTCAGTTGCAAAACAACATTGGAAAGATTGCATCTCTTAATCTCGGGCTTTGTCGAATCCTCAAGTTTCTCAAATTCACTTTCTGGGTAGAGACGAAAACACTTCCCAGGTCCTTCACGCCCTGCTCGTCCACTGCAGTAGCAAGATCCAAAATGAAAGGTTGAATACACGCAAGATCCAAGATGCGCAGAATTGATAAAATAACTCCATGTTATCATGTTTTACTTTTAAAAAAAAAAAAAAGAAGTGACCAAGCAAACATTGAATGCAAATTCAACTCCTCAGTACGATCCAAATCTTCAATTACAAGAAAAGAGAAGGCAAAAGAGATGAATTTGATTCAAAAAGTCCACGCGTGGCCAACAAAACCCCCTTTCATGCCAAAAGATACCTATCTTTAAAAAGTTAAAGGTAAATTAAAGGACATATACCCCAATTTCTGAACATTCGCACTGTCTCAAAGTATGCATCCACAAGGGAATGACAAGAGACCTGTCTGCCATCCATATGTTTGCATTTTAGGGCAGAAGATAGTGTTCGTTTTTAGTCAAAAAAATTTGTATGGCATCACATTGGGACTTCAATACCTGTGCATCTAAATGGTATCCCTTCCCCTATTTCTTCTTTTGACTGTATTTGAAATGTGATCACACTACAAAAGTATAGATCAGAGTATGATGAGTGCAGACTACCTTCTTTGAAGAGCCTGAGCCTTGGAAGTTGGTATGACAATTAATGATTCCATGCCTTTAGCCGGATCATATGACCGTGCTTTCACAAATCCAGGGTCTACAACATACTTTATCCCAGGTATTGTCACTGATGTCTCGGCTATATTAGTGGCCAATATGACCTGAAAGAGTCCAATTATATTAGTAATAATCACTACCAAAATAAATGTTCACAAAATTATTTTAGCTTACCTAATGACAATGACGTCGCCGTATCTAAGCAACATTAGCAAATAAACAACAAACTGAGAGGAATATAAATATGATATATCAACAGTTCATAAATCCAAATAGATTGTCTGAAGGTAATGAGATTAATCATCTTGACCACAAAATGTTATGCTATCACAATAGAACCACCACCAACAACCAGATTCAAAGAGTTTATTAATGTTAGAAACCCACTGTCAACAGCACAAACGAGTCTTGCGGGCAGTCTATATATGTCAATATGTGAAGATACTGAGGATAAGAAAAGCTGAGAAATATCACAAAGAATACTTTGTTATTGCTTGTCCTACAAGTGAAGTAAATGGGCATAAATATCTACTATTCTCTCATGCTTCACCATACCAAGACAAGAATAGATGACAAGAAAGATGTATGGGCAGTCAGGCCTCACGTAACGTTAATGAAAAACATTGACGTGACTGCTATTAGAAAAAAAAGAAACATTAAAGTGGAAATAAGGTCCACATAATCCAAAATACAAATCGTTACTTTATAGAAAAGGATCTGACTTTAACAGGAGCACTGCACATATAAAAATTGCAAAAAATTGAGCATCTTGGATAGTCACCTTACGAAATCCAGGATGAGTGGGTGCAAAGACACGCATTTGTTTCTCAGAGGGAAGAGACGAAAATATAGAAACAGTCCACATATTACGGTTGCCGTCAGGCAACTGCCGTAGTCGCTCCTGAATAAGTCTTTCAACGGATTCAATCTCCTCTTGACCAGTCAAGAATACAAGGACATCTCCTGGACCCTCCTCCAAATGGATCTGAGTAATGCAAAACATGTACTTATCAAATGCAAATATTCCAAGCCAACTGATTGGGATCAAACAAAAGAGTAGCTCGCATAGCAATATTTCCAAGGAGAAAACAAATTAGGAAACTTTATTGAGACATCACTTAAATTAATGACGCTGAGTGAATATATGCACCACATTCTACATGGATAAACTTAAAACGCCTTTTCATGAATCAGGTCAGATGGTAAATTATGTATCATATCCTAGTCAAATAAACGAGAAGTGATTTCGGAAACCCACAATGCATTAAATGTTTGGCAAGCCTTCAATAGTAAAAATCTATGGAAGCTAAAGCAATAAAAAAACCAATTAACAAGAAACCCTGAGGTGCTACTGCAGATTCTAGTTTATGAATCATCTATAAAAGTTCTATGTTTTTAAACCTCAATATAAAAAGAGAGTTACACAATCAATACAGCATTTTATAGACACCACAACAAAGTTGCTGTTTAGCAAACATTCATTGCAGTCATACCTACAGCACAACATCGAACAACAAAGCACCAAAACTACCACATTAAAAGTTAGAGCAATGACACATCAACTGTGAACCAAAACATTAACTTCCTAGAATAGGTTGTAATTCCTTTTTATAAAGACATAGAAGGCCTAAGCAAATAAGGACTAAAAAACAACCTGGAATATGGTAATCAGGGTTGCATCTAAATAATCTGGTTGAGGATGAAGAGTATATAGTGTATCCACAGGAAATTGCCGCCCCTGGACATGGACGGCTCTTGCACCACCAAAGTACTCAGAGAAGACACGTGCGTCTAAGCTAGCAGACATAATAATCAACTTCAATGTAGACAATCGTCTGCTTTGGCATTGTTTCGAAGTACTGGACCAAACACCTTGCCCTTTGTCCAGGGCCATGCCATTGTTCAACTGCTTATTTTCGGTATTTAGACAATCATTGGCAGATGCAGACCTTTTATTCTGAACATCTTTCAACAAGCCCAACAGCACATCAGTGTGGACTGTTCTTTCATGAGCTTCATCCACAATAAGCACGGAGTACCTAGAAAGATACGGATCCAACAGTGCTTCCCTGTAGAAGAGTAGTATCAGATCCACAGGCAAAGATTGGAATAAACATAAGTTGCTAATTTAGCAGAATACAAGTTTCACATGATTTTTCCATATACTGTAATTGGAAGTATGAAACTTCTACTGGTTCAAACTTCCCTTGAAAATCTCAAAAATAAGAACTAAAGCTTCAGCCCAATTAGCAAGATGTCTAAAATAATTCCAGCTAGTTAGTAGATCTTGCTCCACCTATAGATCTAAGGAAATAAGACCAGTAAGTCTCCTTTTTACAATCACATCTAGATTACAAAATGAATTCGGTAAAAATGATTCGACTCAACGGGCAAGTTAGCCCACTGTAAAATACCGATGCACCCAACTACTGAATCTTACAGGAATCTTCAATCTTCACAGATAACAAACTGGACACAAACAAACTTTGGTGCCCCAATTGGAAGTCAGGATGATCCTATCACAAGCAGATGTCATGAAACTGACTGAACATATTACACAAGTCAGGAAAAGATAATGGCAGAAACTTAACCTTAGAAGCAAACCATCCGTCATGTACTTGATTCTTGTTGAACCGGATGTCATGTCATCAAATCTGATAGAATACCCGACCCTTTGGCCTAACTCAACCCCAGATTCCTCTGCCACTCTTCTGGCAACAGTAACAGCTGCCACACGCCGCGGTTGAGTAATCCCAATAATCTTCCCATCGCGACAGAACCCAACGTTGAATAGAAACTGTGGTATCTCTGGAAAAAAAATGCCAACAATATAACAGCTCCCTTAAGGAGGAAAAAGGAAATAGTAAAAGGCACAATTATACATGTCATGGGATTCTCTACGGTAATATGTTGCACTGTGCAACCTCATTCTTTCAACACTTGGATATGACGAAACATCATGAAACAAATATATCACATTGTACTATGTTTTGTACCCAGCCATGATGAAATGCCACACAATTGCACGGAACGGTGCGGTAACATAGACAATACCTACGTGCTATACCGACATGGATACTTACGTGTAGTTTTTCCACTTCCCGTCTCGCCAACGATTATCAAAGTGTCATTGTTCCGCACCTCCTGGACGAGCCGCCTCTCCACTGGGGACAAAAAAGAAAGCATCAACTAAAACTCAGGCAAACCCACAACCCAGCTAAGGTGGATTCATGGAAACAAACAAACAAACAAACCAACAACCGAAGGCCACAGTACCCAACGCGATCGGCAGAGACTTCCTCTGCTGCGCGATCTTCTGCCTCCTGCATTCCAATCAAAAATTCGGCGGGCATTCAAGTTTTATATTTTTTTTTCCTCCCAAGAACAAGCTAAGAGAGTTCACGGGCTCTTTTTCCCTAAACTCCTGACATTATTCACTGAATCCCCAAGAACCCAAAACGCCTCGGAGCATCAATATACTTAGTTAGCAAAGAGAACACGGTGAAAAACAAAGATGGAAGGAGAGAAAAGAGAACCGATTGAAGGGATTTGGTTTGGCGTTGTTGGCGACGCTGGCGTTGGAGGGCAAGCCATTGAAGTGAGGAGGTCGAGCTGCGTCGCCTTCTACGCCTTGAGCCATCGATTCCAGAGAGAGCAATCTTCTTCGTCGCCGGAGGAGCCGCCGTCGGTTCAACTAGAAGAACGGCGATGAATATATAGGTCTCTCTCTCTCTCTCTCTCTCTCTAACGAGGAGCAAAATTACATGAACTCGAAGGTTTTTTCGGTTTTTTTTTTTTGGTCGAATTTTTTCTTCTGGTCGGCAAGAGGTGTTATTATACTTCGCTTCGGAAAATATAATTACTAGGCACAAATTGAAGGGTTTCGATAGGCTTTTCAATGAAGTTAAAAAGGATTATTTTCACTCGTACTTTAATCTCATTGTGAAAATTTCAAGGGTTTAAATTTTTTTTTAAAATAAAGTACGCGGATTGCAAGATTTAAAAAATAAAACTAAAAAATGAGAACCCTTCGAGATGAATCCTTCGAATTAGTTGACGGTGATTTATTAATGTTTAATGTTCTTTTCTCAATTCATTTTTTTTTATTGAAAGTGAATAGATCGACAGATTTCTTAGTTTATTTCAAGTGCATATGTACTTTCTTGATACTAAAAGATACTGACCCTTATTTGTTTTCGCTAACTTCATATATTGAAACTTACATTTTCACATTAAAAATTAATTTTATCGTTGAAGAAGTAGCTAGTTTCTAATATATTGCAGTTATTAATAAATTTGAAATAACTTATTCGTGTGTTTAAGTATAGCAAATCATCGATACTTGCAACGATCACATTGCCAAGAAAATTATCCAAAAATTTCTCAACCTATTGTAAGGCAGCTAATTCAGTTCTAAACTTTTCAATTTTGTCAATTTAGTCCTAAACATTTTAACAACTTACCAATTTAGTCATAAACTTTTCAATTTTGTCAATTTAGTGTTAAACATTTTAATGATTTGTCAATTTAGTCGTAAACTTTTTAACGATTTGCCAATTTAACGAGTTATTAATCAACCAAATAAAACTAAATTCCTAGGTAAAAAAAAAGGGATAAGCGCATTAGAAGTCTTAAAACTTATCACGAAAGTGCAGTTGAATCCTAAAACTTTCAAAAAGTGCAATCAAGTCCTAAAACTTGTCATGAAAGTGCAATCAAGTCCTAAAACTTTCAAAAAGTGCAATCGAGTCCTAAAACTTGTTGCGAAAGTGCAATTGAGTCCTAAATCTTTTTAAAAAGTACAATAAAAAGACGAACTTAATTGGACTAACTTGACAAGTTTTAAGACTCAATTGCACTTTGTGACAAGTTTTAGGACTTAATTGCACTTTTTGAAAGTTTTAGCACTCAATTGCACTTTAATGACAAGTTTTAGGACTTTCAATGCACTTGTCCCTAAAAAAAATTATAACTAAATTCTAATGTTATTAGAAAGTTTGTCATATATTTACAGAAGTTTCATCCCAATAGAAATGGTAGATAAAAGCCAGCGGTAAAAATGTAAGTCTAGTAACATAAAAACCTAAAAACAGTAAATTCAAAGGTAAGTTTATAATTTTCCAATTATACATTTACAGTAACATCATGTCAACAAATTTATTAAAATTCAAATGTAGGTCAATAAACACAACCAATTAATAAGATTGGCGACTCTGACTTTATGTTGTAACCTTTTTCAAATATTTGCAATAACTTCACCAGTAATGCCAGTAAATTTTGACAAACACCGAGAAAATTCAAGCATAAATAATTAACTAATTAATCAACTAGATATTCGTAATTTCAAATGTAAGTTGGTAACTTACCATGGATATCTACTAAAACATTTGACAAATTTACTAAAATGTATCGACTCAAGGATCACATCCAGCAAACATCACCGGATGACATTAAGGTCATGTCAGTTTGGATCGTATAGTCACAAGGCTTCAGCTATCGAGTCCTTCGAAACGATTCATACGAATGAATGTCTGCTTCGGACAATGCTGGCTTCAAGGACTCCCTAACGATTCGGAAATGACGGTCATAAACGGCAGTTGCATGTATGTTTTCTCTTAGAGCGACCATTCCTGCTTCCCTGCACAGGCCCTCCAATTCGGCTCCTGTGAACCGCTCAGTATGTTCTGCTAAATCTCCAAGATCGACATCATTTCCTATTTTCATGTTTCGAGTATGCACGCGCAATATCTCATGGCGAGACGCCAAATCTGGCGGGGGTACATAGAGCACCTATAAATTTACAAGAAAAGGTAATCGTGAGCTTGACAGGGTAGTCAAAAAGAATTAAATTGTTCCATCACATAGTACACACTCCTACACTAGACAACAATTCCTTCAACGGACAAATAATAGACTAAATAGCAGATAAATAAATAAAAACTACTCTCTATCGGTAATTTAGAGTTGCCAATATAGGGGGAAATGGTCAAAGAACATCTTTCCAGAAAAGAATAAAAGCACGAAAACAAATTTTTTTCATATTAAGATACTAGATTTCCCGACCAAAAAAAAACAGATGCTAGATTGAGTTTTAAACAATACTTCAAAGAGTGTTCACTCAAAAGTTGAAACTGAAATTAGCTCAACAAACATTTTATTAAGACTAAAAATAAAACTAAAAGTTAATAAAGAATTAGAACCATAATTATGTGGAGAATAAGTAAATTGCCAATATTAAGGAATTACATGGCATTATTAGCAAGCTAAAGCCAATCTGGACTCACTGACTTAAGAAAGGTGGATCGGAAGTTCCAATACTAAGCACTTAACAGAGTACAAAATCCACAAAGAACTCAGCAGACTCGGGAAGAAGGTCACAGAATTACAGCCTGAAGTCTAGCTCAAGAAGCAGTAACATTCCTTACCAAATCAAAACGTCCAGGCCGCATAAGTGCTGCATCAATTGCATGGGGGCGATTTGTAGCAGCTAACACAATGATTCCCTGCCCATTTGAGGTAGCATGAGATAGAAGCTAATCTTAATTTACTATTTATCAAACACAATAATGCTCACATTTGCCAGTTCTAAACCGTCCATCTCAGTCAACAATGTGGATAATAGCCTCTCTCCAACTATGGCATTGCTGCTTGATTTACCTGCACTGCAAGTGAACCAAAATAGAGAAGCCGCATTATACGTCCACTTTTATTTGCAATTGCCAACTTTATCGTCCAACGATAAGTCAGATATCATGGAGAAGAAAAATAACCAGGAAGTCCACAAACATTAATAACTTTTCACATAGTAGGAGGTTCACCCAACAAATGAAACGAGAAAAGATACGAGGGTATCTTTCGCACAACACATTGAAGAAGCACCCTACACTCATTCCTCAATGTTCATTACATCAACCAAAATGACAATGTGTTCATTGTACTTCAATACCAGTGACAAATACACATGCTTTCTAAGAAAAGATGACTTCTTCCACAATATACTCAAAGAAAATCTTCCTTGTCAACAACTATATCTGAACAGAACAATATGACAGCACCATAGCTTGCATGGAACACCCCAAGAATGATGTTACACAGCCCTCAATAAACTCACCGCTTGCCTGCCACAACATCAGCCTCATCAAAAAATATGATGCTTGGTGCCGCAAGACGAGCTCTTCTAAAGGTATTCCTCAATAAGGCTTCCCCCTCTCCGACATACATTGAATATAATTCCGCTCCGCTGAAATATAAAGTTTGCAAATTCTCAAGATAAAGGAATGTGATAATCACATCAGAAAATCAGATAAGGAAAAGTGGAACATTAAGGCTGGTTACATCCTCTTAACTTTTGGCTATTATAAACAGGAGATACTTTATAGGGTCGCAACTTCGATTTGTCAACAGCACTGAATCTTGGTTTTTCTAACAACCAGATTCTGATGTAGTCATCATGCTTAGCTAAAATGAATAGTGTCGTAGAGTTGGAATCTATTTCAAAATGATATAACTGGAAAGTACGCTTATTATCACACTATTGCAACTTCCTTCTTTCAATGGCTAAAGAAATTAATTCCATCAGCAACTTCTTAGATGATCAGGCCTCATACTCTTATCTTCACTACAAATTAGAGACAGCATATGGCCAAATTCAAGCTCCACTGCGGAATCAATTAATAAAGGAGTAAGTTAAGAAAGATGCTGAATCTTTAATACAAGTCCTTCTAAGACTTTGGTCTTTAACTCAGATTGAAGATCCAACGATTATAATTTGTAGTGTGATTGACTATGTTGCATAAGCACCAACTTAATTAGTAGCAATTTTTTTAAGACAATGCAAGAAATTGATCCACCCACAGATTTAATTACTTTTCAGTCATCATTCATATAAAATAAAAGCCACAAACAGTTTGTTCACATGAACAAAATATCTTGTCTGAGGGTAGGTTTGCTCATACTGGATGCAACAGCTGTTCAATTCTCCGAGCCCATTTCACAGAGTTTCATATTCCACCTTTCTTTGCCATCCTGGCATAAAGTAAAGTTACCCCTCCAGACTTGTGAAACAACAAGCCATTGGATCTAGTGGAGAGTGGAACTTTGTTTTATTGCCTAGGGTGAAGGATGGAATTACAAACATGGCATTCCCCCTCTCCTTAAAGTCTCAGAGAATATATAGTTGTTCAGGGAGTTGTTGACATCAAACCTTAAGGAAAAAAAAGAAGCTTGGGTAGCATGAGCAGCGGCTTTCGCCAGAGTAGTTTTTGAGCACCCTGGAGGTCCATGCAGAAGTACTCCACGTATTGGTGATATTCCCAGCCTCGAAAAAGCAGCCGAATGTTTGATAGGCCACTCAACAGCTCGCTGAATCTTCCTCTGATCAAAGTTAAGAAGGTACAAAAGTCAAAAAATGGACGACCAAGGCCTGAGCACATAAGAATGAGTTCACTGACCTTCAATTCCTTATATCCTCCTATATCATCCCATGATACCTTAGGAATTTCCACGGTAACACCTCTTGTTATACTTGGGCCAACAATAGATCTAGCATAGTCCCAATCTTCCATTGTAACCAAAACCTGCTCTATATCTGAAAACCTTTTAAGAGCAAAAGCAGTTGCCTCACGGCATAAAGCTTCTAAATCAGCTCCAACATATCCATTGCACATTATAGCGACGGATCTCAAGTCAACAGTAGGATCCAAAGGAACTTTTTTTGTGTAAAGCTGACAATCAAGAAACAAGGAGTCAAACTGTTATATCCACTTTGAGTAAACCTAACATTCAACTAACTCAAATTCACAGCTTTCAGGTTTCAAAAATCTGTGCAGCCTCAATAAGATTGGCAGATGTATCCAGTGTGATCTTGGAAACAGCCTATTAACACAATAATTTCTATGATACCTGGAGAACTTGAAAGCGCTCTTCTTCATTGGGTGTTGTAACTTCTATTTCAACATCAAAGCGTCCATACCTTCTAAGTGCAGGGTCAATTGCATCCACTCTGCAAATACAGAAACAAAGTACTGAACGAAGAGAACAAACGACCAAAGCAAATGGAGAAAATGTACTTAGCGAACGTCATCAAAATAGCCATCTAGTTGTGATTTTCCATTCTTAGAAAAAACTGAAGCAATACAGATTAGGGTTATTGGCTCTCACCAACCAATGTGAATCACTGAAATTCTTCTCAAAAGCAGGGATAAAAAGTTTCACACTAAGAAGGAACAGCAGAACGAATGAAATATGGCTTCTCATTTATAGTCTTCATAATATAATAATCTACAAGCTTAAGGTATTAAGTTTAAGGAGGCATGCCACAAGGGGCCAGACTAATTATCAGAAGGATGAAATCTAATATAATCTCATTATTAAACAATACCCTAATATCTCATACAACAATAAGCCCTAGTCCATATGTGAAGATTTAACCTGTTAGTGGATGCAACAACAACTACTTGTGGCAATGATTCTGATAGTGGCTGAATAGAATCCATCAGGGTACATAATTGAGAAGTCAAACGGACATCTTGCTCTCTTCTGCACTTTAAAAAATAACTGAATTAAACTGAATATTGCCAAGTAATCTTTATGGTAAAGTAATAGCAAAAATGAGGGAAACAAACAGGAGAAATTGCAATTCAGCATAAAACTGATAATGGTCTGAAATGTCATTGTTCTGCTAGCTGCTTTTATTAAGATTACATATATTTTCTTAAGTAACATCATATTGGGTACTCTGAACAAGTTATAGGGTGCAGGGTAGTATGAACCCAAACCATAAAAACCTACCTTGTACTCACCAATTCCAAAATTTTGGAACCTGGAACCTAGCTTTGATACCCAGCCTAGGACATACCCAGCCATGCCGGTTCTGGAGGGTACGCTGGTTACACAGGTTCTCGTGCACACCGCTACTAATTTCCGAGTGATGCCTACTACTGACTAAGAAAATCCTAATGCTGCTTATATCGTATTCTCCTGTTTTCCACATTTCTCGTATTAAAATGATGCGACTTTAGGTTTCTCCATAGCAAAATGCTTCCCAAAGCCAATAATTGATTGCTGAGTAGGAGATTCTCGGGAATCTTACCTAGAATTACGATGAGGGCAAAGCACATCTATTTCATCTATGAAGATTACCGATGGCTTGCCCGACCTTGCAATAGCAGATGCTTCAGAAAAAGATTCTCGCAGAACACTCTCGCTTTCTCCAGCATGAGCTCTGTGAACAGCGTGCGGACTGCAGTACAGACCAAGAGAATTTAGTTGCAAGCAATACCTTGCGTCTAAAGCAAGCCCCGCAGATTACAGAGTAAAGAGCCTAATTTGTATCTACCAACAGCAATTAGTTGAAAAGTGAACGCCTTTTGTTTTCGCAGCTTTCCAGATTGTCTTATGGTCTGAACATGAATAGCTTCCCCGAGAAAAGCGAATGCATGATACATAATTACATTGAAAGTACCTGATAATGGTCAATTGCGCGGAACATTCTCGCACAACCGCACGGACCAAGCTTGTCTAGCAAGGTAGATATGAACCCAAATGAAAACCACTCCGACGCGATAGAAGAAAACCAACCACGCCCCCTACGACGACTGAGAGGCGCTCCACGAAAATGAAAAGGAAACAAATTGCTCTATATTACAGGTGACAGGGCATTGTCGATCGAGTACCTTGCCAGTGCCCGGCGGTCCGTACAGAAGCAAGCCTCGCGGCCACTGCGAGAAGCGTCGCGAAACGCGGTCAGGTCAAAAATCCGAAACGGGATATTCTCGGGTTGCAGCTATAGGAGGTTTCTACGGGTAAAGGAACGTAGCGAGGGAGCGAGCAACACCTTGAGGCCGAGCCGCCGAGCTTCGCGGGAGTAGAGGAGAGGGAAGGTGATGAGCTCTCTGAGAGCCTCCAGCGCTTCTCGGTTGCCGCCGATGGCCTCCTCCGCCCTCCACCGGTCGCCACCGCCGCCGCCACCACGGCCGCCGCTGTCGTGGCCATCGACGCCGGGACGGTTGCCGCCGCTCGTCATTCTAAGTCCTCTGTTTTATTTGCGTGCGCGGGCGACCCCAAGAGACTTAAAAGTGGACTTCAGGGTTTTAGGCTCTTATTCAATGTCGCTCGTCAAGAAAAGGCGGACAAATCGGGACAAATCTTTTGCGGCCTAGTTCCCTAAAATAAACCTCAAAACTTTGGGTTAAGTTCTAATTCTATTCCGAACTTTTTTTTATCTGAAAAAATATCTCAAACTTTCGGCCCGACCCAAATTTGTCTCGAATTTTTCTTTGTTTATAAAAAGGAAAAACCATCTTTAGGTCTAATATTAAACCTACTCCGAACTTTTTTTATTAAGGCTGCGTTTGGGAACACTTTGGTGGAAAGTTTTTGGAAAAATATAAAGAACTTTAAGTTAAAAGAGTTTTCCAAAATTAAAATTGTATTTGTTAAGTTGTAACTTAAAAGTCCATTGCAAAACTTTGGATAAAATAGTGTTTAGAAAAATTATCCTTGCAAAGTACTTTTTTATTTTTTAATAAAGAAAAGTTCAAACTCTTCACCAGAGCCAGCGAAGGGTAGGTGGCCGCCAGCAACCCAGATCTGGTGCCGGCGGCTGTCATTTGAGGTCAAACGACCTCAGGCAGCCCCCGGCGACCACCGACGAGGGCTGCATGTGGTCGAGCGACCCCCGACGAGGGTCACGAAACCCAGGCGACGGCCGCCAGCGGCCCTCAAAGGTTGTCTGGGTAGCACAACCTCAACCGGCCCTCTCTTGAATCACACGACACCTCTTTGAGGTCGCACGAGTTCCCGGTGAGGGCCGTCTAGGTCGCGCAACCTCAGGCAGCCCTCGCCTGGGTCGCGTGGCCCCTCGCGGCGGTCGTGCGACCTCAGGTGACGGTCACTGGTTTGCGCAACCACGCCGAGTTGCGCAACCACGCCGACCCCCCTCCAGCCCGTCACCGTCCCCTCATAGCCACGCTAGCCGAGCTAAGCGAAGAAGATGATAAATAGTGATAAACGAGGCCAAAATTGGAAAATCAAAAAATAGATGATGGTAGTTTTGGAAGAAATTTTTTTTACCTACCCAGAAGTTTTGCATACCGAGAAAGCTGAAAGCCCAAAGTTGCCTAAGACTTGCCTTGGGCTTTTAGCCTTCACAAGGCTCACTTTTGCTGAATGGGGGTTTTTTAAATCGTTCCCAAATACCCAATTTTAGCTCAAGGGGTTTTGGATGCCCAAAGTGGCTTGGGAAAGCCATTCCCAAACACACCCTAAGAGAAATCGCCAAATTTGTACTTTAGTCCCAAATTTGCCCCATTAGCTCTATGTTCCAAAATTGTCGTTAGTTGTCCCTAATTTTCATAACCTAAAACGGTTTCATTTCGAAGATATTTTTCCATGTCGCCTTAGTGACAAAATGTCACATCGAGTTGGGGCTGAATCACGGAAGTAGATAAATTCAAAATTGGTTATTTTTTTAGACAAAACAAAATTTGGAGCAGATACTGGGTCTAGGGTTTGGATTTTTTCTTAAGACAAAAAAAATTCATGGCAGAATTGAGATTAAACCTAATGTCGGGAGTTTTTCAAGAAATTAGGCCAATTTTTTGCCCCTAAAAAATCATATTTTCTCGAGAAAAGGCGGGGACTTTTTGAGTGAGCGGTGCAACAAGAACTAAGACCGCTGCTTCAAAGCATGAATGTTTGAATGGAACGGTTTTGGAAAAACAGGGCTCCTGATGCCATGGTTGTTGATGATATTGGTAGATCGCGAAGGGAGAAAATAAGTTGAAACTAAAGTTGTTGCACGAAGCATAAATAATTTGAAAAATATTTTTGAAAAAATGATTGCTTGAAATAATTATTCAATTTCATTATCGATAATAATTTATATCTAAATATTTTCTTTTCATGAAAATGGTTTTCAAATTATTTATTTTTCACGAAACAAAAGCACCCACCGTTCAGACAATTCTCAGTTCAACATTGAAGAACCAAAAAAAACACCCTGATTCAATCAAATTTTCTTGACAAATACTCTTTACACTCGCCCATCCAACAACCGCAACAAAATTCCATCTCAAGCCCTCATATGCTCAATCATTTTAAAGTTTGATCTCAAGCTCGCTCTCAAATTCTCATAGTGTCAATCATTTTCTGCGTCTATTCCATCTCCCCTCTCCTCCAAAACCCCATACGCTTCCATAGAAGTTGAATAAGCCTTCTCCTTCTCATGTTCACCAATTCTCAATTTCACTCCTAGTGGTTCGGATACTTCGACTCTTAACGACGAGGGGACGCAACCATCGGAGGATGCAGCTAGTCCAGTGTGAAAAACATTTATCTAACATGTATCAATCTCCGATAAATAAATAGGTAGGAATTACCGCCTCACAATCACTAGTGAGCAACCGTTCTCCAGGCAGAATTTGAGCGGTTCGCATATTGCGCAACAATCAGTTCCGCCCTGAATATCTGAGCTGTATCATCCGTAACACGTTCCGAATTCTATTCTCAGTCTTAATCAAAGTCTTATACGTGCAGTCATAAACTATGGATAAACCACCCTCAAAACACAAACTAATAGTATGGCACGTGCATCAAATGCGAAAGAATTGATCGTTAAAACAGAAAATTTGATTTTTTTTCAAAAGATGAACACTAACCAAATTTCATAACAAAACTAATCGGAATAAGATTTTATTAGAATGTTGAATTCCTGGATCGTAATCATGAAAACTGCGGCAATAGCAGACCCATTATGTGGATATGTAAACATAATTCATGTCAAGCAGCCCATAAATCTGAACTAGTAAGAGGTCTAGTGAAGTTAGCAGTAGATTAAAAGGCTTGCCTAGATAAGCAACATCTTGCTCTTTCTTCAACAATTTCTAATCTCTAGAGAACCTCTCCGTAGGCTTCTAGCCCACCTAGGCCCACCCAGGGATATAAAATCTACCTTGAACGTCAACAAAGGCAACTAGTTCAAGTATGTTCACAAAATTAATCACCCAAAACTGCATCTTTGATAACTCGGGAATATTTATGCTGCTCTTCGAACAGCAAAAACAATCCAACAAGCAGAATGAATGCTTGAGCTGGTTCGTGGATCACTTTCACCTACAGTTTCAGATCCTGGACCTGATACTGATACTGTCAAAATCAAGTGACATGGTGAAGCAACCAAAGCCGCAGGGGAGGAAGACTCCGAATAATTTTGGTATTTCCTCAAAACTCAGTTCCTAAGGCATGTGAATCGTCACGCTTCCTGCAGATGCTTGGTTTGCTGCACGGTTACTTCCAAAGTTCTTCCGGTTTGATTCCCTTGCGATTCTTGAACCGAACTTTAAACAGTAAAACATAGATATGTCATTTTCTGCTCGATTTTTCTATATCATATGTAGTAAATTACTGCAAATAGCAGATTAAAGAGGTGCTATCGCGGAAACTGGACACTATCATTTCAAAGTAACACGGAGCCTAAATTATCACATTATAATATGTAGCTGCAAACAAAGTTTCACATATACGTGCTTGAGGTCTTGCCTCAGGATTCATGACGGAAAATGACTAGTGCAAAAAGCTGCGAAAAATGAAGTGAGGGAGGTACAAATGTGAATCACTAGGATGAGCATTATACCGTGCTTATGTACGGACATATAATGATGATTGTGTTGGCACTATTCATAGAGGGGAATCCAGATACATTGCTATGCACATAAACTAGATATGAAGAGATTTAGATGTAAGCCTTGACCCTATCCTAAAGAATGCTTCCATAAATCAACTTACGAAGATACTGAAAATAAGCAATTGCTTTCTCAAGAAAAAGTATAGTAACACGCTATAGAGCTCACATCCCAATTCCACACTAGAACAAATGAACGACCCAATTAAAAAGTGCAAACCTGAATTGCTCTTTTAGGTAGAGTTGATGCTTCATGTAAACCAAGCAATCTTGCAACCTTCAAAAAGAGAAAAAAAAAATGGCACGTCAATGCGGTATGAAACACAATCCAAGAAAGAACTGCGATGAACGGTGCATGTAATAAGCCATTGCATGATGGAGAACATAGTTGAAGTGCAAAGGGTGTCAAAGTAAATAGATGATGCTAGAAGAAAAAAAAAAGAAAATTGAAGTCCTGATTAGAGAAAAAGAATGTACTCACAGCAGTATAAAATACAAATAGAACATAGACAGAATTAGCCGCTAAAAAGACCAAAAACTTGGAAGCAACAACAGGAAGGAAGAACATGCAGCTAAATTAATGGGATAGAAATCAATTGGAACGAAACTTTTAATTGCTTTGTTCAAGGCTGCTCCGTAGACGTACTCCCCATTATTGGACAGGAATTGTAGCCTGCTTCCTAAGTTCCTAGAGAAACCCAGGTTCCTCCCATAACTACTTGTACTACTTGCTTGCAGTAGCTTCTTTGCAGAATGGGTAGGCACACTAACAAGATCAGGTGGATTTACTGTCGAAGGAAATTTAGAGTTATTGAATCCAGTAACACATCTCTAATCCAAGATACTATTCAAGCATTCAAACTGCATACACTTTCAAAAGCAGTAATTGAAAGTGCCTTCCCAGTTTTTACCAACTCATCAAAGTATTATGTTCTTTCGCTGTATGTCTCCTAAAAATGAGATAAACAGAAGTTCAACGAAAAAGATTACAGTAACCTCTCTCAAAATCTTCTTGTCACCAGTACCACTTGGTTGCTCAAGGTCCGCAATTTCCCACAAAGGAATACCAAGCAAAACCTTTATGACATCTTCATCCAAGAAAGGGAATCTTGCCTGTTAGAATAGAGTTGAATCATCACACTAGGTATCTCATGGAGGAACCAACAATGCATATGCTTATACACACCTCTTTCCCATGATCAGCTATACACCTATCATCTCTTCCCAGGTTCCTCTTCCAAATTCTCTGCATGTCCAATCTCATCTCCTCATCAAGCCCAAGCCAGCTGATAACACCAAATCATTTCAAAGAGTTCTTGATCATGATAATCAAAGACAGGCTT